GATACTTTCTTTAGAAATTCAAAAATGTTAATTATCACATTTTCATCGAAAAGTTGCCCCGGGTATTGTGATGTCATGTTACTATAGTAACCATAACTCTACCTGCATTACATAATTTCTTTTGAAACTTTCGGGTTTTAGTTCCAATATGTCAAAGTACATTGTGTAAAACTTTGAAGACAGTTGGTGCAGAATTGAGAAAATGCAAGCACCAGTCCTGTTCCTTTTGGAACACCCTGTAGTCATTCATATTTTTGTATATAATTTACAATAGGCTTTAAATTAAGGATTTGTAAAGATGGCAGTTTAATGTCGCTAGCTAAATGGTGCTACTGGGCAGTATGTTATTCGAACTTGTCCACAGGTGGATAGTACTACAGGGTGACCAGAAAAAAGTGGACCGTTGTTTTTTCCTTAAACTTCCTCATAACTGCCATGATCAGGTTCATGTTTGGCACAAATGTACATTAGTCAATGTGTGACTTTATGTCAAAGTGTGAAATGTCAATCTCCTTCCATTTTTATTTGATGGCTATTTCAGGAAATGCTTGAAATGTGCTTCCAGGCATTAAAGACAAACTTTGATTCTGCAAGCAAAATTGTTGATCACTCAGACACATCATTCCTCAACTGTGATAGCTCTTATTTTAGCTTTAATTGCTTATTTCAGCTCATTTATTGTTGCCAGATTGTTTTCATACACATTATCCTTTAATAAAAAATCTGAAGGGTTTAAGTCAGGGCTTTGAGGGGTCCAATATTGGGACACCACCGCCTACTGTTCAATCAAACTCCAAACCTTGCACGAAGCCAGTTGTTGGTTCTATGGGGTGTACCCCTATCTTGCTGGAACCACTGCTCATGCCTTAGAAGGTTACCTTGTCTGCCAAGAGCTTCCTTGAACATTTGCATCACTTCTAGGTATCGTTCAGTGTTCACTGCTACAGCTTTTCCCGTGTCATCTTCAAAGAGGTAAGGCCCAATTATGCCGTGCTTTGGGAAGGCATGCAAAGCCGTGCATTTTGTCAATTACAATTGCCTTTGAAGCACTAGATCTGGGTGAGCTGTACCCAAATAAACACCAATCTCTGAATTGATTTTGCCATTTAGGAGAAAATGGGCTTCATGTGAAAACTACAGATCATAGAGCGCAGAATCAAAGTTCATCTTCATTGCCAAGGAGCACATTTGGAGCATTTCCTGAAATAGACACCAAATGAAAATGGAAGGAGATTGACATTTCACACTTTGACATAATGTCACGCATTGACTAATGTACATTTGTGCCAAAATTGGACCTTTTATCACTGTGTGTCTTGTTTTGACAATTAACCCATATTTTTTGCTATTTCGTATGACTATGCTTAAGGAATTATCATGAATTATCATAATCTTTGGTTTGGTTAAATACTAGTATGAGCAAGTGTGACCCAGGCATCACTCACTGTACTGTACTTTGTTTTAGTGATGTGAGAAATATGAACTACATGTATACATCTGAGTTCCTTGCTAGTAGACCCATGGGCTTTTATTAGAAGGAATGGTTAAAAGGAAAGTTTACCTCTATAAGCCAGGAGATGTTACTTTAGTGTTCTTTATGATAACTATTGAGGCAGTTTAGAGAACAAATTGAAATTGCTTCTTATGTATTTTTATGTGATTCTTCAGAAAATATTGGTGTAATGTGCCATATCTAGGGTGAAGGTTGTCAACATTGAGTTTTTGACCCTTCAATGAAAAATTACAGGGGAACTTCATCATCATAAAATAAATCACCCAGTTGATCTCTAATCATCATATGTATGTTTTGATCTCTTGGTAAATTGTACTGTCTTTCACAATTGTCAGTCATGTAAATTCCAATATACTCTTGTATTGAGATGAATCGGAAGAAGACCTTGAAGATGTACCTTATGAAAAGGAGAACTGTGTAGATGAGATTTATACTTGAGGCAGATTAGATCTACTCTCTCCCACATTTGTTACTACCCACCAACCCACCCAAACCCCCCATGCAATAAGCACAACACGTTGATCCTGTTACCAGAAATGCTTCATAAATATTTTAAGGTTGCCCGGCATACCCATGACAGTGGTTACCATAGTAACCATAACTTTGTCAATACTGAGTTGCTTGTCATGAATTTTTCGGAGAATAAAGTCAGATACATGTGTCTTATGCTGTAAAAGTTTCATGAAGAAAAATGCAAAAAACAAAACTTATAGCAAAATTAGCAATACTTATTAAACGCCCTGTAGATTTGTTAACAAACCGCTCAATTTTTGCCTGCTAGCTTACTACCTAATAGGTCCATGAGTACTGCTGTAGCTAGGATTTCCCAAGGGGGGGGTGCACTGAGGCAAATTTTCTGTAAATGAGGCAAATTTTCACCTTAAGTGAGGCAATAATTTTTCTCTCTGAGGCAAATTTTCTATGTAAGTGAGGCAAATTTCCTCCGTGAGTGAGGCAAATTTTCTCTGTAAATGAGGCAAATTTTCTCTGTAAGTGAGGCTAATTTTCTCTGTAAGTGAGGCTTATTTTCTCACTGAGGCAAATTTTCTCTCGTGAGGCTAATTTTCTATCTGAGGCAAATTTTCTCTGTAAATGACGCAAATTTCCCCTGTAAATGAGGCAAGCAAAATTCAACCCGTAGAATTTTGGCAGTAAATAGACTAATGTTCGAAATTTTAGCTTTTCGTATATATTTAGTGAACTGAATGTGTATATTTACATATTGTGAGGCAAATAATAAAATAGTGATGAGTCAAATTTTTCAAAAAGCGACGAGGCAAAACTCAAGGGGGGGGGGTGCACCTGCACCATCTGCTCCCCCCCCCCTGGCTACGGCCATGATGAGTGTTCTTTTAGAGGACATTCAAAATTGACACTCACTAATGCATAATTATGGCCCGATGTTATTATTAGCGAGAAACTTCAGTAGTCTTCACAAGGCTGAGAAAAAGTCTCGGATAATAAATGAAAATGATAATTGTAGCAAATTTAATTTATAAATAAAATAATGTAAGAACAAATCATTTACTTGTACAGGCACGTCTCACCACCCGTCATTGTTTGGACCTATGGCCTTGACGAAGGCAAAAAATAAGACGTCTTGCGATGTGTTATTTGATAAGATGTGCAGAGTGGAAAAACAGCTCCAACTTGGCCTCCAAGTTACTGGAAGTGATTCGGAAGCATCCATTAGATCTTCATTATCAGAACATTTCCCCTGTGCCTTGCAGCTCCTGTGCAGTGTTCATATTACTAGGAATGTCGACACGAAACTGAAAGGTGATCCTTTTCAGAAGATTTAAATTCTCATTTTGACATGTTTGTTGTTTCTAATCACTATGAACAAAAGTTTATCTAGAGAAAATCTAACCTTTATTTTGATGGTCAGTTACATATACCCTAAAATAAAAAACAATATGCTTCCAGTTTTATGCCACCTTAGAATAAAACTTCAGTTTCATCCTATTGTTTATCTAAATACATTGACCTTAAATACATGAAATATTCACGCTAGTTCGTTGTATTACAGAGCTACAGATATGTGGAGAAGATCGAACTTTGATATTGGAGAGTGTAAAACGTGCTTTCCATAGTTGCACTAAAGAAGAGTTCGATATAGCTACATCAGAAATATGTGCAAGTTGCGAAAAATTCCCGGAAGTAATAAGATACTTGAGGGTTAACATATTTCCGAAGATCTGGGACCACGCTTCAACAAGGGTACATTGATACACAAGATGTTTAAAAAAGCAGAACTGAGGAAAAGTTAATTTACTTTGTCATTTCTGCATATTTTGCATTATTTGGTTCATTCAATGTGGATTTCGTTGTGAAAGTTTGATGATAATCTACTCATGGGGTTGGAAACTATGGCACTTTACAACACATACCCCATGTTGCTACCTCTGACCAAAGAAGCTGTTGATGACTCTCCTACACACAAAAACATAGATTGCAAAGCCTCTAATGAAGCTATCCACTTCAAGTTTTAGAAATGTAAAGATGAAAAACTGAGAATTGGTGACTGATTTATGTTTGTAGCTCCATTTTAGTCAATCCATTGACAGCTGAACAACTTCCTCGGTCAGATTTGATTATGAAAATGAAAATTGGCCACATGGGGCATGTGTTGTAAAGTGCTGTATTTTTTGACTCCATGAGCAGAATATGGTCAAACTTTCACAACAAAATTCACATTGAATGACCTGAATGATTCTGGATTGACAAAGTTATTCAACTTTTCATCGGTCCTGTTTTTTAACACCCTGTAGTTTCGATTTTTATCACATATACTTTTTATTCTTTCAAACATATTACAAGTATTCATTGTTTGCACGACAGATTTGAACTATACGTGTAATTTTTCTTATGTCTTTTATTTAATTTAACATCAGAATTGGAGATACAAAGTGATAGAGTGATCAATTCATACGATCTCAAGGAATAATAAAGGCTGCATTTCTGTTTAACCGTGGCGCAATTGAATAACGTAATATTTTAATACGTTTTCTCCCAGGGTATCACGAAAAAGTATTTTATTATAAGTCCTGCAGTGCAAATAACATGCTCACATGCTTTTACAAAAATAGCTCATTCAAGCGCACTAACACTCACATAATTCTTTTGAAAGACAACACGGCTTATTCCGATGGAACCCCTGTGGTGCTCCAGCGACAATGAGTTGAGAGCGTTATTGGCAATGTTGGCACAGGGTAGTAAAAGGTTTTATTGCGCTCGGATGTGCTTCCTTTGTTGAAAACGTTTGACCATTTATTTTGCATCGCAGGGTTCATTATCCCAACGAACAAAGTTTGGTAGTGATATACTAGTGAAGCCCTCCATCCGTCCGTCAGTAAGTCAGTCCGTCCGTCCGGATGATAACTCAAACACTAGTTGATGGATTTTCTTCATATTTGGTGGTAATATGTATATTGGTGAATAGTTTTACGCAGAAAACATTTTTTATGTACGTCTATTCTTTATTTAGGCAATACAGCAAGTTATCCCAGCCTCACAACCATACACAACAAACAAACAGGAAGGCCTCAATAGCATCATAAAAAAGTGGAACGAAGGCAGAATCCTGGACTTGGACCATTTTATTATAGAAATAAAGGAACTGGTGAGGTGAGGATAGCTGGACTCTTTAGGGGAGAATATGTTTTGAAGCTTTATGTTAAAATAGGGCTTCTCTCATAAGTAATTAATAAATCATCTCATAAGCTCAGAATTGATTCACAGAAAAAAGGCATTTCTTCTCTTTTTTCCCAACTTGTCTCAAATTGAAGTCTATTGTTTTGAGTAGTGCTTACAATTGTGCTTCAGTGCTTACAACATTTTGGGTATTCAATGATTATAAACAATTTTTTCAAACCCTGCACGTTCCCTCTAATTTCAGTAGTCAACAAGTTCAGGTCAGTCGAGCTCTTCACGGCCAGTTCTCTAAATACACAAGAGTAAGCCGGGTTGAAAGTACTCCTGACAATGGTGACAGTACTCTCGACAATGATGACCGTGTTCATGTTGCTGATTCTGAACCAATAGATGATTTTGGCGATTTAGAGCCATTACAACAATGCTTTACCAAGAGCCATTTAAACAACATCATACATAAAAGTGACATTCTTATAGAGAACAATCATGTACAAGAATTTCCACCCAATTCCTATGTTGTAAAAAGTGAGACTGTTGGTGTGCACTTCATAGAAAGGTGCAAAGATTCATTTAAATGCCCCTGCCCATCATTTTCAAATAGAAAATTTTGTGCACACGTCCTTGCAGTGGCTCGGACAAACAACATGGTCACAAGTCAAGTACGCAAGTGTTTATACTTCACACCAAATCTCTCAAAATTAGACGAAGTAAAAACGCAAAATCGCATGGGAGGGAAATCCATTAAAAAACAATACAAAAAAATAATACCATTCTCCCCGGAAAAGCCTATTGTAGAAACTGAAAGTCAAAGTCAATCAAGTCAAAGTAGTCAGCATGTGAGAAACCTCTGCAGCGAGAGGGGAAAACCGTGGCGACTGTCAAATGAGCCATGGTTTGCTCTAAAGAGGGTGGATACCAGAGCAAGAAAGTGTGCAGGTTGCAAATCACCATTTAGCTCAGAATATATCATTTTAAAGCACAAGGAAAAAGATTTTCTTGCTGGAACTGATATCGTTACCCCCGTAGCAGGTAACAGGTATTATCATTTAAACCAAATATGTGTTCAACTAAGACACGGGAACTATTACGCCATTGAACAATTAATGTCTGAAAACTTGTCCGAGAAGGAGGTTGAGAATGCAAATAGCAAAATGTGCTAGATATTGACCAGTGAACCAGCTGTTAAATGCGTAACATATAAATCTTATCTTGAAACGTCAATTGAACAGTTGCAATAATCTACCCAATCACGTGGGTAGCCCATTGTCTGATTGTGGTTTCCTTACTTTTAAAATTAGTAAACAGTGTACTTTAGCGTTTGAAAGTCAATAATACCACACTCAGATTTTAACTTAAGTGTCATGGTCAGAAACTCATACAATGGTTTGTAACTACATGTAGTAATCTAAGTCTAATGAGTAATGTGGACTTATTTAGGTACGATTTTATTACTTTTACATCTTTTTTGACACAGGCTGTTACAGTGTTACATTGCTAAGTGTCTTCATTCATTCAGACATACTATGATTATTTTGCCTTCATATAGATGTTTTTGCATACTAGTATATTGTCTTCATATACAGTGGAGACGATAACCCCATTTAACGTGTAACACGGAGATTGCCATTTTGCACGTCAATTGACGTGAATCACGCCAATAAGCAGAATGTCCATTGTAATTCATAATTTGAAACACCAGGTTAATTAGAAGACCCAGTGTTTACTATATATACAATCTAAGTAATATTTCTTTTATAGAACGTATACTTAGGTAAACATTAATGATATATTAAATCCCAGGGAAGTATTTCATTCCAAAATTGTGGAGAAAATGCCGTTCAATCTTGTGAATTTTTTGGCAATGTTACGAACCAATGAAGTAACCACCGAACTTGGATTCTTGGAAAGTCTAAATCGATCGATGGAACGCTTTTTATTGCATTTTCTTCAAGTATTTAATCTAATCTAGCACTTGTATGCAGGAATTCGCGATCCTATGTGGGAATTTCGCGCTAAAACTAATCAAAGTTACCTCTCACGAATCCTAGATTAAAACGCCATATTGGAATTACTAATACTCCTTCAATTGTCTAGATATCGTCTTTCCGACGGGTTTTACGACAAAATTGGTACTGACCCAATGGTATTTTAATCTCTTAACACAACGTGAGTCCCAATTCCGAGAAAAGACCACTGGAAATCACTAAAATGGGGTCTACTTTCCCTCTTCTTTTTGACCGGAAGTGTTTTCCTGACCTCGATTTGTTGCTGATTTTTTCGTTTTTTTCATACGAAAAACGACTGGATTTAGTTTTTAAACCTTCTTTGCAATGATCTAATGATTACCTTAAATGAAGTATAAACAATTTAAATTCCTATCCTCATTAGATCAGAATTTATTAGTTTTCTTTCCATCGTTTGTTTACTTCCGGTTTGCTGTTGAATAAATATTTCTTGTAAACATTGACGTAACATATCATAATTTTTGTTAGTTCAAAATTCAACGCGGACAATAGCAAATGTTTATGATTATAGCTATTACATACGATGCAGATCATGATTTGCTCACTAGTTTCCTAGTTTATAACTGCCTGTCGTCCTGCCGATAATATGTGAAACTTTTAAAAGATAATAGTTTGCACGTCAATTGCCGTGCAAAATATTGCACGTCACTTGACGGACATGACGGCAATTGCCGTTATTATCTACTGACATGCGTACTTATACTTCATAATTTCACGTCAATCGTCGTGCAACATGGCAATTGCCGTACTTCACGTTAAATGGGGTTATCGTCTCCACTGATATAGGCTCTTAGTCTGGATGTAGAGTGCCATAAAAACTAAAAGGAAGAGTTACAGATGAATGATACTTGTAAACTAGGTTGCACACTATACTGTATACATGTATATGGATGTCCATTCTGAGGTTAAATTTCCATTTTACAATAAATGTGAAACCTTTTGGACAAGGTAGTTGTCAATGCATGTGTAAATTGTTTTTATTGAAGCTAAAATTTTAAGCCGATCAGGAATGATGGATCAAGGATCATTATCTTAATTTAGCTGTAAATGCAAGAATCTCAATCAACAATGTAAACTAGAAAACGGAAACATCATAGAGTATAAAATCCAAAGGAACATTGATCTGTACAATAGTATGTCAGATTTTGGTATTGCTATCTACTCTATCCTTTATTTGCAGATTATTAAGACAGTCGGTGATTCAGTATATCAGAATTTCTACGAATTTAAGCATCCGGGAGACCATTTAGGAATACCAAAGGCACAAATTATAAAAATAATCCAAACTTTATTGTGTAATGTAGTATAACATACTTTGATTATATCTATAAATTATAGCAAAATCCAATATTAGGGAGCCATTTTAATTTTCAGAGGCCGAAATCAGGAAAATTATACAAATCGGTAATCTACTTTATGTAGCTGTCATTTTAACCTTTACTTATAAGAAAGATATCAAAATTGACGATCAATCATGTTTTATCAAGCGCCTCGCCCCCTTCATAGAAATGTTGAATAGATACACTACCAACGTTTCAAACAGTAACACTTATTCTTTTATAAATAGTTTAAAGAAATTCCGTAAAACTATTCACCAATATCAATTTTCCACCAAATATCAACAAAATCCATCCACTAATATTCAAGACATGTTCCGGACGGAGGTCCTCGCTTTATCCCTATCACACTTAGTTCGAGGAGGACTGTTACATAGTCCGTGATCTGCTCCAAAAATGAAGTTCCCACAAACAATACTGCAATTCAAGTATGCCTATATCAATCAATTTTGATAAAAAAAATAGGTAATTTTGATTAACAAAAGAGTACATAATTTTGAAAAATATTAAAAAGATGAAGGATGCAAATGTATAGATCTGCAATAGTACAAATTCTACATTGTGAAATGTTTTGGTGTCCATACATTCCAAGTGATAATAAAAACGTCTGAAGCTTGAAAAGGTGACATATATAATACATGTATTATAAAGATACATGTATGTTAACAAGGTCACAAAAATGACAGCCAAATAAATATCAATGCTGGCTTTGAATATTATGATATCCCCATATAAAGTCAATAATGGCAATAATGCATACCTGTAGCCCCGTCTGAAGTCAATACATCTTTGTTAAAATCATCATTAATTTTACTAGGAACACTATCTTACTATGGAGTAGCTGTTTTTTATAGCGGGCACCCGGACAACAAACTCCTTATCTACTGGTCTTAATCAGATCTATTATGAATGGATAGGGTTGCTTATGCCTTGGTCACATTTGCTTCGATTTTCACTACGGTGCCCGGCCGATTGGGTATTTCGTTCAGAATTGAATTCACTTTTGAACAAAATACTCATTGGCCGGGCGCCGGTGCTGAAAATCGGGGCAAATGTGACCATGGCATCAACTAATGATGCTGGCGTAGTAAACAAGGTAACACATTATAAAACACTGCCCTCCGCCATACTGTAGCATGTATTTCTTAAAATTAATTACAGACTGAAGTGAATTTGCAAATGTTATCCATGGGGCTTTTCTGCCACCTTGCAAACTGCTCGATGAATCTATGTAATGCAAGGGAAGAACACTTGGAATATATGTAGCTAAAATCTAGTATACTGTACCTTCAGAACTATGGAAATAAACAAATGTTGTCCACAGTTTGTAACCTCTTTGCAGCACCCTTTGAAGAAATAAAGGCTAGCCTACAGTTTGGGGGCAGGGGCAGGGTAGTGTGATACGTACCTTTAAGTTCTACATAACTTACCTAAACAGTAAAAGCTCATGCAGATCTGCCGTTCAAGTAGCAACTGTCGTTTTTAATCGCTTTTTGGCACAATTTAAGGATAATTGTGCGCACTAGTTCAGTGAATCATTTAGATGGAATAAAAAGTTAGAGTTGCCAAACTTATGCAGGGGAGTGTAAGTTTGGTTTTGTAAACTTCGACATTATTCATGGCCGTTTGATCCATAATTAGGTAATATGAAGAGTAGAGTTTTATTTTGACAATAGAGAGGTTAAGCTACACGTATTTAACAAAACTTGAACGTGAACTTCAATGCGCGCGCAGATAAATGACGTCAGATTTGTTTATTTCCTGCGGGCCAGCGTGAAGTTTACGGGTTTTTACATGAGATTATCATATTCGTACAATTTACAGACGCGTATTCAACAAAGCATGAACGTGTACTTCTATGCGCGCGCAGGGAAATGACGTCAGATTAGTCTACTTTCTACAGGTAAGCGTGAAAGTTACAGGTTTTTACGTGTAGATGAGTGATTACACGTCCCTCATTACATGATTGATTTTAGCTATGTTCTAGGATGGCCGTGGAGCCCATATTTGATACAGGCAATCTTACTTGTTATATTGGTAAACCCCAATCCTTATAATTGGAAATAAGAATACATTTTAATGGGTAAATGACAACTTCAAATGTGATCGTTTGTTCCAATTTAAATTGGCAAGACCAATTTGATGCCCGGGGCTTAGTACAATATGTATACTAAACGAAATGAAATGACAACCAGGGCAAGAAAGTATTTAGTGCGCCCTCCATTATGATCTCCCCATGAACAAAAATAAATTCATCTGATTTTTCAAAATAAATATACTGCTTTTATTATTACATTAATATGTACACTAGTATCTTGTTGACCTATATTCAGCACTGAATGGGCCACTCATTAGGGCCAATATTCAATCATAAAGTGTACAGGGGTAGAGATGCCAAACCATGAAGTCTTTTCGTGTCTGTCAAAATCCATTTGCATCCTACACATCCCTACATCTTATCCAAATATGTTATTAATTAATGAAACATAACAGTATAATTTTTGTATTTACAGAGTTGTATGGGATTTCATAAGTGTAAAAGTTGCTTTTGAAGCATTTTTCTATAGCCATTTTGTAGGAAAAAAATGATGAAAAATGTATTATCTTTTAATTTGAAGTTTGACCTGAATCGATTGCAAACTTTATATTAAAGCACATCTGATGTGATATACCATTTGTGTCATATTGTGAAATTATTTAATTTGCAATCGATTCAGGTCATAGTGTATTTTAGGTATTTTTGTGAAAATCAATAGAAACCAATGGCCTCCATCGGAATCTGATGGTATCCACATGTTAGGTCAATAGAACACATCCAATGTCAAGTCAATATACCCTTGCTGAACTTAATGACCTCAACCTCAGCCAATGTGGGTTCAAACGCTTAAATATTTTCCAAAGTATTATGTGACATTGTATTCTTAATGTTACAGTTAAAAATGATTCATTTTGTTCATGGGGAATCCATAATTGAAAGTGCACTAGACTCTTTAATTGTGGTTGAATTTGAAATAAAGCAAAAATAAAAAACAAAATGTTTTATTGCGACTAGATTCGAACCCAGGCCTAACGGACATACGTGAAGTGCTATGCCGAAGTGCTATCCATTACACCATAGAGACATGACCTTCAGACACAGTCACCACATAAATATAGCTCCACGTCCACTGACATGGTTTCAGACGTGTAGCTTAACTGAAAATTTTCTTAAACGTGTACTTGAGCGTGGACTTACGCGTTCAGGTTCACGGTTTGCATTTATACGTGTAGCTTAACCTCTCTATTGATTTGATGTAAAACCTGGTTTGAATGATATAAAAGTTCAGCTTTGTAGTTTCTAGCTTTTTGCGCGTAAAACGTGAATACAATGGACAACAACGACACCAAATCTTTGACTAACAATACATACGTTAATAACGTATAATATTCGTAAGAATGAATTCGAATAACATTTGAAATAAACATCTAATAAAATGTGGTGAATTTAATTAGTTGGAAACTCTAAGAAATATATTTTTAAACAGATGTCAACTTTTGGACAAGGGTAAACTTCCCGGGACATTTACAATCTGCATGAGGTAACGGGAAGCACGGATTGCACTGAACGAAAGCTAGGAGATTGCTAATCAGCACTCAAGGAGGATTGGCTCCCAGAATGCAACACCGATATTCTGCAAAACAATCACCTAGCGATAGCTTTGTTGGAGAGTATCGGGTCATTCTCCATGCAGTCGTACAAATTATACAGACACGAATAGCAAATGACGCATGCGTGGAGATTAAAGAATATCGAGTTGGAACCCTGGCTTCCAATCCTCCTTGCAGCACTGATGTGTTATACAGGTAAGACTGCCCGATCAACCAAAAACATTTCGACATATCAAAAACATAAATCAAATAGCTATTCCGGCTTTATTTTATTTTACTAGAGAGATGTCAGACCTATAAATAAAGGCATATGGATGCATAAATTCATCTATAATTCAGGATAAACTGAGATTGAATAATGTTTTAAACATTTAAAAATTTAACTCTTTAAAGACTGGGTCAGGACCCACGTACGTGGGTACGAGGGTACGTGGGTAGGAGTTTTTTTATACAAAGCCTCAACTATGGGATAATTAGACATTCACATATACATTCACCATGGAGATTGGTAAGATTTAAATATTACATGGACTAATGACAACAAAATAACATAATATGAAACAGCTTTAAAATATTTAGCTCTCCTCCATATAATAATGGGGCAAGGGGTGTACACAACAGACAAATGCTAATGATTAAGACTTTCAAACATCCTGTTAAACGATTTTCTGAAGTTACAGTTAAATCCAGGGTACTTCCTGGTGTATATTATTACAGAAGTAAACAATAAAACCAGATTGGCTATAGCTGCTAAAACATTCCCTCAATAACATTTCACTTTCACTTTTCTTTCTACAGGTAGACTTAGATTGTCTAACAAGATGAAAGATGTTTTAAAAATCTGTACACACTGTTTATTCACAGGGAATGATTGTGTATTGGTTTTATCAAGAGAATTAGTATCTGATCAGAGAAGATGCCATATCTTCCTACCACAAAATAACTCTACTCAATTCATATCAATTTCAAGAATGATGTAATTAATTCAACCTGTTTTAGTCACCTAATTACTAATGGGCGTCACTGTTCATATATTTCTTACCTGTTCATTCTGTACTGAAGATTCAGTTCATAGGTGGCGCCAGTGGGGTCTAATCTTAAAAAGAGGCTCTCAGACATTCCAAGTTCCCTGAAAAAATCAGATATAAATCATAATATTTCTAGTTACTTATTTATTCCACATTTTATAAAGAGTTGAATGCTAGTTATTGTGAAATTATTATTACCCAAACATATTCTTTGAAATGAAAACAGCATACAATTTGAACCATCTTTTCTGAAAATAACTATAAGGAATTATTTATATTACGTACCTCATCAGCAATTTTATAATAATCAAGGTTAATTTATAAATTGGTTTTAAATTCACAATTTAGGTATATTTAGAATCAGAGGTGGGTGTAGAGCCTAAATAACCAGAGTATTTGACAATTAACTTTTTAAAATCTTTGAAAACCCCAGTAAAATATTCACATGGCTGATCAAAAAAATCTGGTCTCATAAAAGGAGCCTTGTTGTGGTTGGTTATAAGAACAGCTTTTCTAATGTATTATTAAGCTTCAGAGCAAAAAGGTTTAATTCATCATCCAAAACCATTCCTCAACATGAAAAGAAAAAGTCTCCTCTTCCAGTTGAAAAATCAAAAATTAGATTAGTATAAATGTTTACTCCTCCTAGTTCAAATGGTTGCCCCCTCACTTAAGCTTGAGTACATGTCAGGGTGAACTCTAAGTGAACAGCATGCTCTGTATTCATTCATAGAGATTTTATTGAAATATTGCCAGGCAACCTTTTTATTACACATAGTTATGTATAACATTAGATACTTTCCAGTCAGTGCACATGTACATGATTGTGATATGTACAATACATGAAATCTACTGAATAAAGTTTGAAAGGTCAACACTGTTTATCAGTGTAGTTCAATATTACTAAATACATTACTGTATACAGTTTGAGTGCACACCGCATCATTTTAGTATACTGGGTTTGCATGCATTGAACAATAAAGTATATTTGCAGGGGGCTTGGTTATACTTAATCTTTATAATGCCCTTGATAAATTGCCATACAATACTACAGGGCTAACACAAGTTCTCTACATGTGAATGAAAGACATTTGAATGCAGAGGGAAATCTTAGAGAGCAATAGGCTATTTGGATTATTGTTTTGTGCAAGATGCCGAATTTATTCTTAAATGGATTGAGTATGTTTGTCATGATATTGTTTCTTGTGGATATCAAAATGACTAAAGGAGAGAAGATTTTAATAATATCCAACCAATGTGGACGAACTTCAAGACTGCAAAACATGGAAAAAATGGCTGATATTCTTACAGAGGGGGGACATTCTGTAGCCATGTTGACAAACAACAAGTTAGGAAAGCCAAGATTTGAATCACCACATATCAAAACATTTGAATATCCATTACCTTATGATTTTATACCATGTGATCATCCGAAGGTTGTTGAAAAAATGCTGGATGCTTCAATATTCACTCTAATGGAGATAGCATCCAATTACTCACGTGATATCACTAATGGCCTAATGAGAAGCAATTTATTAGAAAAAATCAAGAAGATAAACTATGATTTACTCATTGTCGATTATGTTGAAATATCAGGAATTGTCACAGCTGGAGTTTTAGATACACCTACAATATTATATGCAAATGAAGGGACTTATACAGATCTCATAACTGGCCCTGTAGGCCACCCTGTCCCATGGTCATTCGTTCCCAATACACTTACAAAGTTCTCGGATAAAATGACATTTATAGAAAGGATGCTTAATTCAGCAGCCCATCTTGCAAATGCACTTGCTATATATCCTGCTATGGGAGAACTAAAGAGACTGAATGAAGAGTATAATTTAAATATCCCCATTGATCACCAGCGAGTAGATCTTATAATGAGTAACAGTCATATTGCATTGGAATGCCCAAGACCTCTCATGCCCAACCATGTATACATTGGTGGTTATACACTTGAACCACCAAAGCCTCTTCCTAAAAATATCAATGACATAATAGCTGACTCACAATTCAATGACATCATCATTGTAAGCTTTGGTTCACTTGTGAAAGATTTGATGAATCCTGAAAAATATGAAGTTCTTGCTGAAGCATTTGCAAAACTCCCATATACCATACTATGGAAACACACTGAGAAGCCACCTGCTACCCTTGGAAAGAACACCCATTTAATAACATGGCTACCACAGAAAGATTTACTGGGATATTCAAAAACATGCCTCTTTGTGACACATTGTGGGAGGAGCTCATACTTGGAGACAATTTACCATGGTGTACCAGTTGTTGCCTTGCCGTTATCCTTTGACCAGCCTAAACATGCAAATCTTTTAAGCGACTATTTACAAATGGGACTTACATTGGATATTAATACTCTAGTGGCCGATGAACTTGAGCAAGCTATTCTTAATGTACTTTCTGATCCAAAATATACAGCGAATGCAAGGAAAGCAAGTGATTTGTTCAAAGATAATCCTGTGTCTCCTAGAGAAACATTGCTATACTGGGTGAATTACGTTACTAAACATGATGGAGCTGATCATTTGAAATCCCAGGGAATAAGAAATCTCTCATGGTATCAGTATTTCTTGTTGGATATCATTGGACTTGTACTTCTAACTTTGGTTATACTTGCTATTGTTTGTTTCTATTTATGCCGATTCATGATAAGATGCTTCAAGTCCTGGCATAAAAGGAAACAAGATTGATGATAAGCTTTTTGAATGGAATAACATGCATTGTCAGTGCAGAAAGGACCTTATACACCCTCCATTGGGATCTCCCCATGGGAAAAAAATAATTCATCTGATTTTTCAAAATGAGTATTCTGCTTCAATTATTACATTTATATGCACACTAGTATCTTGTTGACCTATATTCAGCACTGTATTGATGTATAGGCCACTTATTAGGGTCATAATTCAATCATGAAGTGTAGAGGCATAGATTCCAAACCAGGAAGTATTTTTGTGCCTGTCAAAATCCATTTACATCCTAAGCATCCCTGCATCTTATCCAAATATGTTACTACATAATGAAATATAATAGTATAATCTTTGGTTTTACAAACTTGTATAATATTTGATAAGTGTAAAAGTTGTTTTTGGAGCATTTTTCTATAGCCATTTTGTAGGGAAAAAATGATGAAAAAATGTACAATCTTTTAATTTTAAGTATGACCTGAATCGATTGCAAACTTCATATTTGCACATTTGATGAGATAAACCATTTGTGTCGTATTGTGAAATTATTAAGTTTGCAATCGATTCAGGTCATAGTGTATTTTTGGTATTTCTGTGATAATCAATGGAAAACAATGGCCTCTATTGGGATCTGCTGATATCCTCAGATCATGTTAAGTCAATGGTGCACAGCCCCATGTAAGTCAATACAACCTTACTGAACGAAATGATCCCTATCTCAGCTTATGTGTGTCCGAGGACTTTAATATTTTCCAAAGTATTATATGACATTTTATTCTTCATGTTACACCTACGAATGATTCATTTTGACCATAGGGATATTTGCCAATAATTGCACATTGTCCTTTAACAAACCCATTTAAATAACTGTAACAAGAAAACTGAATTTTGATATAGAGTATATATATAATGATATTTTTGTAAAATGAATAAAGGTTTAAATTAAACATCATAGTTACTAGTTATGTTGATCTTTTGACATTTATTTAGACTCTGCGACACTCTTTTCTAACCCACCTCATTTGAGACTGAGCAGTATTAATTGTATGGACTAATGATATGATAGATTATTGGTCTCTTGAAAACAATTTAGTTATTTACCTTTCCCCAAAGTCAGCTCATGAATATTATAATTAGCAAACCTGAAATCTCTGACGTCAGAGTAGGGCAGATTTTTGCAGGTGACGGAAACGGGTAAATTTTATTGTCAAATTATGTTGAGTAGTAATAATATTTATGATAAATGTCATGGAATTTAATAATTATACTCAAGTCTATATCCCCCTTCTTTATGTAGTTCTGGGGAATCAAATGATAAGAGAAATATTTATGTGAAGAGTCCAATGTTTCCGGGTTTACGAAAAAGACCGACCCCACCGACGGGTCGGTGTTTTCCACTGGTAGCCTCAAAACAGGGTTTGAAGAAAATGTGTAAAAGACCGACCATATCATGTAGCCTTAAAATATTAATAATTTGATTTTGAATGTCAATCGTTGGATGGACTAGGCAACGTTTTACTGATTTTGTACCTTGCAACGAATGGCAAGCAAACAAACTGGGTATGACCGTCTCCTCTCGATTAATTGTCCTGCCTTAGGTCCTAACCTATCATTAACCAACCTATCTTTTCTTTTAATGAAATTTAAACCTGCACATCGCTCCAAAACTCAATCTTGGGTTGTTTCGGGGTGAACTTTATCATTTTGAGCTTAATGAAAGATTGTAGAATGATGAACAAATGGGGCAAATCTTTTGTATAAATACTTACGATGAATGTGTCATTTCAAAGATTGTTCATCGAATTACTTCGATTGGTGACGACGAAATGATTTTGGAAAGGTTTAAGATGAGGGAAAGCCCCAGAGTTTTAAGATAACAGACATAATTACCTCTCTTGCTTACCACCTTCGTTCGTTCGAATTTTCATTGGCTAGTTATCAAATATTACACTTCGATGGGATGTTTTAATTGACAAAGGCATATTTTGTACACCTTTCCTTAGCTTGATATGAAATGAGAAGCTATTGTAACCATGGGGGAGTGGACGTGGGTTACATTACAAATCGTATTAACAGAATAAGAATATAAAATGTATTTAAAATGTATTCAACCCTATAATCAATCAAATGATCAAAATGTTATACAAATGAGCTAAATCTCTCAACTGATCTTAATACTCAAGCTACCTAAATCACTAACTGATCTTGTATTCAAGCTACCTAAATCACTAACTGATCTTGTATTCAAGCTACCTAAATCACTAATTGATCTTGTATTCAAGCTACCTAAATCACTAACTCACTTAAGACCAAAACCACAAATGCTTAAGGCTGTGCACCTAGTTTGTACCCCAGAGCTGCAAATAAAAGTAATGTACAAATAGCTGTTTGTAAAGCAGGTAAAATACAATAATGAAACATACAGTTTTATGATAAACTTCTTAGTACTAAGGGCTATGGGACTTAAAGGGCCCTTATTCTGTTCCCAAGAAAACCCTTATACTGTGCTTGACGCACTACATACATTTCTCTATTGAAATTACCAAATATAAATATAATTCAGTTACTTTATGCAAAATGTACCATGAAGGTTTACAATTGAGCAATATAAAATAAAATGTGGAATGTACCTTATAAAATAAGCTATACAGTCTCTGAGTGCTAGCCATACATCTTTAGTACGCACACAGTGTCTCCTGTAAAACGTGTGTACCAAGATAAGTCATATGAAATGACATAAATGGTGGTTTTAATTGTAAATGAATAACGCACAGGTGCATGAAATGAACATCACCTTATGGACAAATGTTCCAAAACATTGTTCAAGTTTTACAAAGAAATTACTCAAAAGTATTTGAAATACAAAATAATATTTACATCAAATTGGAGCTAAAGTTATGGAGAATAAAATGAATACAATTGGCATAATGTTGGCATATACTAAAGGGTAAAAAGTGACAAAAATATATGAAAATTTCTTACCATGTCTTTACAGTTCAAAATCAAGGCTAGCACTGGTGATTTGGAAAGTAAATGCAATCAAGGTTAATCCCCTTGCATGTGCACACTGTGTGTAAATCAAAGCTATTCTCCTAGCAGGGTTTGAAAATATAATTGAAATACATAAAAATATAACTCTCCACAGTAGGGTTTGAAAATCTAAAACATCCTGTCACACACACGCGGACTCGTCATAATTTGTCCCAAATTATCCTTGCTCTTGCTACCACAGGAATTATAAAATACATTAAATTCTAACAACAAAATGTCACACTATGATATTGGTTAACACGCCAGAAATAAACATAATATTATTCGAAGCGTATTTCGAAAATTTTGAAACCGCCATCGATGACGTCATTTGTTTGTCGACTTTTGACCAATCAGCGATGATGTCATCTCAATTCAGATTTACATTATAAGCGTATGTCATCTTTGAACCCTGGTGTTTCTCCCCCTCTGGAAAGGTTTCTAAATTAAGAACGTGACGTCACTTCTAAATCATAGCATTAAACCTAAGTCGCGTTTAATTACTCCGAAAATTCATAATACATCGGTGGCCATCGGTAGAATGCTCGCTCAGTACGCAGGAGGCCCGGGTTCGAATTCCGCACAAACTTTTTTTATTTTTTTAACTAAATGATTTTTCTTTGATATTATGAAGAAAAAACAATTTTTATTTACATAAACTTTATATTAGAGCTTGAAAATGTAAAAACAATATATGTCAACATATTGCATTTTGGAGCGATGTGCAGGTTTAACAATTTCGAAACAAAAATGATTTGTTATCGTCATAGCCTACTGAATACTGAACACGATATAATGCTACATGCATTCTCTTATCGGGATTAAAAGTGACTTACCATTTCAGTACACTATTAGAAAGCTTTTTTTGTCATATCAAATGTAGTTTTTACCAGTTGACGTTTAACAACTGAGACATCAAACATAATGTTACGACGTCAACATTGACGATGTTTGTGTGTTTTTGTTATTGCGTTTCATATGAATGAACTTAATGCAATGTTATGTGCGTTTTTTTCCAAAGTGACTAACCAGGATGAAATTGGTCTTCTAACAACTGAAACATCACTTAAAAATATGACATTACACACCACGACGATGTAACGTTTTCATCGTGATTTGAAATGATTAATTATACGTTTTTAAATCACGAGCTAGTAAAGGTACTATAGTCATTGGATTCCCAGTTTTAGTTTTACTTCTAATTTTGCATTTTTTCATCTTTATGTAAAAAACCGTCAGACGACCACCGACCACATGTACCCAACTGTGGAGAGTGACTGGTCGGTGGTCGGCGGTCGGTGTTTTTCGTAAACCCAATGTTTCCTGTACATTTTCAAATTACGCTTACAGTACAAAACCCGCTGTTTAGTTCTTGACTGTCAAAATGTCAACATCCCAATACTTTCTCGTGGGGTGAATAAGGGGGAACGGCTTAACCTTGAAGAAAAAGTATTAGACTCTCAAATTTTGGCCAACGTTGCATTATTTTCACTTACATTCAGCCACCTAATATACCACATGACAATGTTACTTTTATGTCTGCTGAAGAATTTGACAATGGTTACGTGAGTGATGACTAATGTCATTGAACAATGTTAAGGCTGTTCATGTATGCTTTGAGACACTAGCGTTGCTTGTTTTACACATGATCGGCTATTTGAAGAGATTTATCTCTTGAAAAGCCCATGGGCATTTTTTAAATATCGAACTTTTTCAGGATATTTTGGACATAGACCTTCTAGAGAGAAACTCCGACAATTCAAGGATGTAGTCAGGATTTACCTGGGGGAGCAGTTTTACCAAGGGGGAGCTTTTTGACAGTTTTGGTAAGCGGCCATTCCATACCGCTGTATATCCATACAGTCTTATTGTTTGAATGGTTGTCAATCTTTGGTTTGCGTAAGTTGGATTCACTTTGTTAAAAGACTAGCACTCGTATCACAATTATTTCTATGGTTTGATTTACCGGATGGTGTATTCAAGACACAGCTTCAGGCAAAATAGTCAGAAAAATATGTTTCACTTAGTTTTGTTATCATTTTATAATGAGATCTACTTCACTTATTCAGCGATCTAATAGTCATTGAAGTTTTGGCGCGAAATGTGCCCTGCTTTGAGGTCATTGATTTTCAACGACCAATTAAGGCAGCAGTCAAATGAGTACCCTTTGGACTTTGGGGAAAGGTGAATAGAGAATAAATCCAAAAGGCAATTTATTTAACAAATACAAAATAACAAAATGATTTAGTTTGGTAATATTTCGATTTATTCTCAAAATCTCTTTCAACCAACTGAAAATGTTTTTTATACTTATGGCATTATGCATTTGGTACAAATACAGTACACCACCCCCCCCCCCCTCCACTTTGAGCCAATCTCTGGGATTTTGTTCATGGTGCTGAGGAAAGCAATGTGCTCTGGCAAACAAAGTGGAGAAGAAGGCTTTAAGTGCAAGCTATGATGATTGAGACTGTTTCTTTTTGTTTTGGATGAAGATGAACCCCCTTGGAAAAATCCTGATGCACAATTTCATGAAAAAAATGTTGATAGTTCTTGTATTAATTGGTCAGTTTTTGTTAGTTTTAACAGTAATATTTTATTTTTAAGCTCCTAAGGTCAAGGTTTTATGTATATTTATATTTATAAATTGAAATTTATTTTGATCAACGATTGTAATGATTTCATACTATGCATGACATCTATGTTATAGTTTGATTACTTACCTGTGAAATTCTATGTACTTACTCACCTATACACATGTATTGTGAATGTTTGTTTCCACCATGCGCGTTGAGCAATTTTAAAAATCATATAAATATATAAACTTTTATATGTCTCTGGATCATTTAAGGGTAGCGTTTGAAAATGAAATGTCAGACACCCTTCCTAACCAATGGAGCATAAGCAATATGAAATAAATATGTCTGAATAGTATCCAAGTTATGGCAAATATGTTAATTATTTGATGACAGATGTGATTTTCATAAATATCCCTACGTGAACTTAAGACTCACAGGATAATAAATCTGATATTTTGAAGTCACATTTTGAAGTCACTTCAAACACACAAATGTACATTAACTCGGCTCAATCTTGTTTCCTTTTAGAGTAATTTTTGAAGCATCTTATCATGAATCGGCATGAAAAGAAGCATACAATTGCAAGTATATCAAAAATCAAAAGTGCCAGTCCAATGATATCCAACAAGAAGTACTGATACCATGAGAGATTTTCCATTCCTTCGGATTTAAAATGGTCAGCTCCACCATGTTTAATAACATAATTGACCCAGTACAGCAATGTTTCTTTTGGAGACACAGGATTGTCTCTGATCAAACGACTTGCCTTCCTCGCATTTTCAACATACTCTGTATTAGAAAGAACACTTAGAATAGCTTCCTCAAGTGCATTAGCCTGTAGGGTGTGTATATCAATTACTACTCCCATGTTATGACGACAAGTTAGTTCAGTTGCATGTTTATATTGATCTAATCCAAGAGGAATAGCTACAACAGGTACACCATGGTATATTGTCTCGAATGAAGAGCTAACTCCACAATGTGTCACAAACAGGCGTGTTCTTGAATCACCCAGCAAATCATTTTGAGGAAGCCATTTTATTAAATGGGTATTCTTTCCCAGGTTAGCTGGTGGTTTTTCAGTGTGTTTCCATAGTACTGTATATGGGAGTCTTGCGAATGCTTCAGCAAGAACTTCATATTTTTCGGGATTCATCAAGGCCTTAACGTATGATCCAAAGCTCACAATGATGACATCATTGAATGGTAAGTCATCAAGAAGCTTAGTAATATAGTCAGGAAGAGCCTTTGATGGTTGTAAAGTATACCCTCCAATATATTTATGGTTAGGCATGAGTGGTCTGGGGTAATCCAATGCAATGTGATTGTTACTTAAAACAAGGCATACTCCACCGAGGCCAGCTGTGTCTGTTGAAATATTCAAACTGTACTTTGTAATAATCTTCTTTAGCTGAACGTTAGATGAGTATGAGCCATACCCCCATCCTAACCATGCTCCAGTGTTAACCAGTCTTTGTACAAATGTCATTGAATCTGAATATGACATAAAAAGTATTGGAGTGATTGCCCATGGCACAGGATGGCCAACTTTTAAAGTACCAACAAAAGAATCTGGATATGTACCTTCATTGGCATAAGCAATTGTGGGTATTTTCAGGACTCCTGACACAATATGTGATGCTAGTTCAGTATAATCAGCAATAAGGAGGTCATAATCCATATATTTTATTGTTTTTAGAACATCACTTTTTAAGATGACGTCACAAATCAAACTTGAGTATCCTGTAGCTAAGTCAAAGAGTTTAATAATTGACATCTGCATCATTTTCTCTACTACACCTGGATCATCCAATGGAACATATCCTTCAGGCATGATAAACTCAAAAACTTTGATATTTGTAGATAAGAACTGAGGTTTCCCAAGTCTATCATTTCTTAGCATAGCAACAGAATGTCCAGCATCAGTCAAGATATCTGCCATTTTTTCAAGATTACGAAGTCTAGACGTTGTTCCAGATTGTAGTGAAAAGAGCAAGATCTTTTCTGCTGTACACAAATTGAGCAGATATAGACCACATATTGCTACCATTAAATACATACTGACTTTTAACAGCATCATGCTACTTAATGAGATAAAGTCAACTGAAAATGTGTTAAATCCTCTCTGTTTAAAAAGTTTATACAGAGACATATAACATTTTACTATTTTACAGAAGGTCTATACTGAATCCTGACTCCTATGCGGTCTGCTTATTACATTGCAGCTTTGTTTGGTTTATTCTGAGACATAAATCATCAATAACATCACGTATGGTGCACACACTAATAATAAATTTTGAAACTATAGGGGAAGACCATTTAATATGTGGGGACCTAAAACTTTTCAGGTCAGAATACCATAATTTTAATTGGTAAGTCTCAAACAACATCATCCCCTCCTTGCAATGTTGACATGCATGGAATTTTCTAGGAACATTAAGATTATCAAATAAACTAAACAACTGAGATTGCAAGAAATCGTACATCTACCTATTTATTAGATAAACTAGGGCAATGCCCTTGACTTCTGAAATTTTATTTTTCTGATCCATGTAGTCAAAAAATTAAATATTGTCTTAAAGTGTGCGCCAAAGTTTAATACTGCGCAGGCGCAGCGTTCTCGCTAAACTATATAAAGAGATTACCATGGTACACGATTCAGAGGTAAGCCAGGAAGGCGAACGATCTTCGTCCCGTGATGATTTCCCGTATAATCGTAACCAGGGAAGTTTCACCATTGAAATTGAAAATTACTCTTAGATATACTTTGTAGATGTTATTTATGAAACTATTTAGTGTATGTATCAATCAAATGGCTCATTTTGGACATATAAAAAGTATTTGTCTTTTGTTTCCCGAGAATCGTATTCCCATGTAATACACACATAAATAGTGTACATTATGTAGTACATATTGAATAGCCTGGTATAGTAACACCGTGTTTATATAATATTGAAGGGCATGCTGATTGTACACACGAGTACATGCATGCTAGAAGGCCTAATTTCATATAGCTTGCATACCTAAATAAAAAATAAACCCTTCTAATCCCCTTATGTAAATACGGCGGTATACGTAGCCCGATTTATCGGAATCTTTAAACAGACAGGGAGATTTATAAATACTCATTGAGAAAGCTTCTCAGTGTTTTATGTTACGAACTTGGACGGAGTTGAAGAATATGAAAGAATGAGTCGGGAAATATGCCCTTTTATTCTGATACTCATCACATCTTTCTGTCATCAACCAGAAATATTTGTGAATATATAAGCACAAATGCCAAAAGGTAAAAAACTTTAAGGAAACCCAACAAGAAAAGGAAACTGTAAGTGTAAATCTGTCATAAGAAAAGTAGACCCTATATATCCCAAACCATGATCTAACGTGAAAAGAAACAATGTCTAGCATCCCCCTCCCCCCTCCAATCGAGAACCAATGTCACAATCCAGGAAGCTATAGAAGGCCATGATATCTCGTGATGATGCCCTTTAGTTCCTTGTTTAAATGTATGTGAAATATAGTTTTATTATACTGTCCTAGTTACATTTGATAAGTGTCTGTTTTTATGACTTATAATGCATAATTATTACCTTCAGCTGAAAGTCAGAATAGGTATCCTAACAAAAAAATGTTATCAAGAAAAAAGAAAAAAGACAACATGTACAAATATCACAGTAGAAAAAAACATAAAGACCAATAAAGAAAGTCAAATTTTTGAAATATATTTAAGGTTTTTAATTTTTCCAAATATTTGAATTTCCCGCAATATTACTTTGAAAGGTGAAAACAAGAAGATGGTTGCCACTTGATGTAATATGATATCAGAAAAATGTTTTACTTCGGTTTTTAAATTGAGAACAGTTTCAAGGTCCAAGTTTTTTTACTGATTCTGACTGTTCATCAATAGGGTCATGTGTGTGTGTAAATTTTAACACAAAGCTTGGCTTAACATGAAATAAGCTGAAATATATACATCTTCACCAGTTCAAATGAAGTGTCAAAATAAGCTGCAGCAAAGCAACTTTGAGTGACTATAATCTCTTGATTACCCAGATAAAACCAATTCAGTTATCAAGAAAAACCATTCACTGTCTATACAAAAAACACTGTTTCGGAGGATGAGCTTCTAACTTTTTGTAAAAATCTTTAATTTAGTATTTACAATTGCACTTTTTCAATTCTACCTTATTGATATGCATTGCCTTAGTACCTGTCCTTAAAGAAATTTGAAAATATGTGAGAAATAGATCTAAGCTTTTGTACATTTTTTGCTCTAAAGAATGGTATAGGTTTTTAAACTGGCTTCGAAGAAATATGGTCTACTTTTTCAATTGTTTAAAATGTTGGATAAGTAAAAAAGTTTAAATGGTTGTTCCCTCACTTAAGTAGGAAAACATGACACAGGGTGAACTCTAAGTGAATACCGTGCTTTGCATTCATTCATATACATTTTTAGAAATACAAGCAAAAAAATATTTTGCTAAACAACTATTTCCATACAACAGCTTTTAAAGTAGTGCAAAGAGAATGAATTTGTGTCTAGTCAATGCACATGTCTAGCTTACCTACATAAAATTGACATAATAAAATTTAAAAGGATAAAACTATAAGGTCAATTACCACAACATACTACAGGGCGAACTATTGGGGACACCAGACCTATACATGTGCATGAAATACGGTTTCTAGACAACTCATCCCAAGACAACTCATCCCAAGACAAGTCGTCCCTAAGACAACTCATCCCAAGACAAGTCATCCCTAAGACATCTCATCCCAAGACAACTCATCCCAAGACAACTCATCCCACTAGTATAATTGATAAATTATCTAATTTGTCCTCTATATTATATATTTCCCTTTTTCATTTTTACGATTACAAAGTGATTATACACTCATTCTTAATATTGATAATTTTTAGCATTTTGAAATGGCACTTGAAAGTTATGTTCTATTTTTACGTACCGGTATTTTTATTAATTCTGGGTTATTCTCAAATTCTCAATATATTTGAGAATATAGAATTGAAGATAAAAGTCAAAGACATAGTTTCCAGATTCAATCATCATGATTTTGAAAGTTTAAAATTGGAAATCTTACTTATATGACACATTGGAATTAAGCAAAACATTTTAAAACAAAAACTGAATTAATCTGGGAGAATTATTCTGATAATACCCCAGATAATACATTCTTATTGCGTTAATCCTAATCTGACACCCTTGATGATCTTTGATTTAATGATCAAAGTATATATTAATTTGAACATGTTTATCTTTATCCCAATCAATCAACAAAAATTAACTGAAACTAGACTAAACTAACTTCAAAATACAAAATACATTCCATGGCCAAACACAGTGTGCTTACTGCTAAAACCTCTAAACATGTTTCAAATATTCTTTCAAAAGTTGAAATTAATTGTATAAAATTATGTTATATTTCAAGTTGGGAAGAGTTGTCTTGGGATGAGATGTTTTGGGATGAGATGTCTTGGGATGAGTTGTCTTGGGATGAGATGTCTTGGGATGAGATGTCTTGGGATGAGCTGTCTTGGGATGAGATGTCTTGGGGATGAGTTGTGTTGGGATGAGTTGTCTTAGGGATGAGTTGTCCTGTACATAGTTTGACACATGTAAAGGCAGAGGGACATCTAAGAGAGCAATTAAGCTGTTTGTTGGATTGTTGTCAATATAGTACAAGATGCCGAATTCAACCGTAAATGGATTGAATATATTTGTCATGATACTGTTTTTTATTAATATCAAAAACACTAAAGGAGAGAAGATTTTAATAGCATCCAACCAATGCGGACGATCTTCAAGACTGCAAAACATGGAAAAAATGGCTGATATTCTTACAGAGGGGGGACATTCCGTCACCATGTTGACAAACAATAAATTAGGAAAGCCAAGGTTTGAATCACCACATATCAAAACATTTGAGTATCCATTACCTAATGATTTTATGCCATGTGATCACCCCAAGATTGTTGAAAAAATTCTTGATGCTTCAGTATTCACTCTAATGGAGATAATATCCAATTACTCACGAGATATCACAAATGGCCTAATGAAGAGCAATCAATTAGCAACAATCAAGAGGCAAAACTATGATTTACTCATTGTCGATTATGTTGATAGAATATTAGCAACTGTCACAACTGGAGTATTAGATATACCAACTATATTGTATGCGAATGAAGGGACTTATACACCTATTATAACTGGCTTTGTCAGCCACCCTGTCCCGTGGTCATTTGTTCCCAATACATTTACAACGTTCTCAGATAAAATGACATTCATGGAAAGGATGCTTAATTCAGCAGCCCATTTTGCAAATGCACTTGCTATATATCCTGATATGGGAGAGCTAAAGAGACTGAATGAAGAGCATAGGTTGAATATCTCCATTGATCGGCAGAGAGTAGATCTCATAATAAGTAACAGTCATATTGCATTGGAATACCCAAGACCTCTCATGCCCAACCATGTATACATTGGTGGTTATACACTTGAACCACCAAAGCCTCTTCCTAAAAATATCAATGACATACTAGCTGACTCACAATTTAATGATATTATCATTGTAAGCTTTGGTTCATTTGTTAAAGATTTGATGAATCCTGAAAAATATGAAATTCTTGCTGAAGCATTTGCAAAACTCCCATATACCATACTATGGAAACACACTGAGAACCCACCTGCTAACCTCGGAGAGAACACCCATTTAATAACATGGCTACCTCAGAAAGATTTACTGGGATATTCAAAAACATGCCTCTTTGTGACACATTGTGGAAGGAGCTCATTCTTGGAGACAATTTATCATGGTGTACCAGTTATTGCCTTGCCATTATCGTTTGACCAGCCTAAAAATGCAAATCTATTGAGCAACCATTTACAAATGGGAGTTACATTGGATATTAACACTCTTGTGGCCGATGAACTTGAGCAAGCTATTCTAAATGTACTTTCTGATCCAAAATATACAGAAAATGCAAGGAAAGCAAGTGATTTGTTCAAAGACAATCCTGTGTCTCCAAGAGAAACATTGCTGTACTGGGTGAATTATGTTATTAAACATGATGGAGCTGATCATTTGAAATCCCAGGGAATAAAGAATCTCTCATGGTATCAGTATTTCTTGTTGGATATCATTGGACTTGTAATTCTGACTTTGGTTATACTTGCTGTTGTATGTTTCTATTCCTGTCGATTCATGATAAGATGCTTCAAGTCATGGCATAAAAGGAAACAAGATTAATGATAAGCTTTTTGAATGGAATAACATGCATTGTCAGTGCAGGAATTTAACTAAATAACTGTGACGAGAAAACTGAATTTTGATATAGAGTATATATAGATACTATGTATTACATATATGATACATGTATATTGATATTAAAATGAATTAATGTTGAAGTTAAACATCATAGCTACTAGTTATGTTGATCTTTTAACACTCTTTTAGACTCTGCGACTAATACCTACCTCTTTTGAGACTGAGTAATATTAATTGTATGAATATTAATGATATGATAGTTTATTGGTCTCACAAAAACAATTTAGTTACAGAGAATTAATCCATCAAGAAAATGCAGCAAACTCTTTGTAGTCGAGGTCTCCAGGTCAGAAAAGTTGCCTAGCCAAGGCCCTGATACCATCGGTTGATTGTAATGACAACTGATTCACTGTTCATCAAAAACCATGAACAAAACCATGTGCTTGCTTGTTCTGTCGTTGGTTAGGTATCATGCCTATGACATCACAAATGATCGAAGAAACTTTAAACCAATCGGCGAGGTCTAGATTGTGTTTGTTCAGTTGTTGATGTGGCAATACATGTCTGACGTCACAGATAGCTTGGAATGTGTATCACGCTATTTTACGACATTACATAATTTTAGCTAATTTTGGCTTTGAAGTTATATTGAGGACTTACTTGAGGAGTATTTTTTCTAAAAAATAATTATGTGAATTTGAGGTTAAAACTCAAAAAATTTTATAGAATGATTTAAATCAAGGTGGAAGGAGGTGAAGAAGTGATTTATTACAAGAGCAAATGTGATCAATGGTTCGAGGTCTCCCCCAATGTTGTTGCTGACGCTCCTACTGTACGCTGCCTTCGGCAGAGGAGACCTCAAAAAGCAAACAATTTATTAAACAAATATATAATAACAAAATGATTTAGTTTTGCAATATTTTGATTTATTCTCTAAATCTTTTTCAAGCAATGTTTTTATATTCTTAAACATGTGGCAGTGCAATTTAAAGAATCTTTTACCTGTATAAACTTGCATAGTGATCAATTTGTTCTAGTCTACAATGTCATAATTATAAAAACATTCACAAATTTTTTTTTTATTTTCACAACCTTTATTTTTACTAACCAGGACATTTTATACAGTTGAAAAAGGATCCAGACAGGATCCGAAATGTTCTGGTTAGTAAAAATAAAGGTTGTGAAAATAAGAAAAAATATTTTGTGAATGTTTTTATAATTATGACATTGTAGACTAGAACAAATTGATCACTATGCAAGTTTATACAGGTAAAAGATTCTTTAAATTGCACTGCCATAGAAGATGTATATTATCAAAAATAGCAAGTGTTTAATGATACAGCTTCCATGGCAATTGAATGTAATTTAATGAAGAATTATATGATACAAACTTCAGTATACATCAATTTAATTAAAAGCTTATTTGCATTTTTATGGGCTGACAATATAATACAAAGCAGTTTTAATATCAAACAAGGGATATAACACCAAAATAAAAGTACTTTAATCTCCATACGAACATTCATATTTTGAGCTCATGTATTATATCAAAAATATCATGTCAATTTAACTAACAGCTTATTGCTTGCTTTTTATCAGCTTATATAATACAAAATATTTTTAATGTCAAACAAGGGATATAACACCAAAATAAAACAACTACTGTATCCTCTCTAATAGTACACACACCAATAAAGACACGCTCAACTTTTCCAAGAAGCTAGACTTCAAGTGCAAGCAATGGTGATGGCGACCTTTCTTGGATAAGATGTAACCCCTTGGGAAAATGCTGATACATTAATTCATGAAAAAATGTTGATACCTCTTGTTTTAATTGGTCAGTTTTGTTAGTTTTAACAGTAATATCTTATGTTTAAGCTTCTATTAGGTTTAAAAAATCATTCAAAATTTATTTTACAGAGACAACCTTATAAATATATATAAACTTTTATATGTCTATGGATCATTTAAGAGTATCATTTGAAAAGAAAATGGCAGACACCCTTCCTAACCAATAAAGCATAAGCAATATGAAATAAATATGTCTGAATAGTTAATCTAGATAAGCAACAGTTTGAAGTCACTTTAAAACCACAATTATACATTAATTGACCTCAATCTTGTTTCCTTTTATAGTGAGTCTTGATATATCTTATTGTAAATTGGCATGAACAGACACATAAAATTGCAACTATAACCAAAGTCAAAAGTACCAGTCCAATGATATCCAACAAGAAGTACTGATACCATGCAAGATTATTCATTCCTTGGGATTTCAAATGATCAGCTCCATCATGTTTAATAACATAATTCACCCAGTACAGCACTGTTTCTTTTGGAGACACAGGATTGTCTTTGAACAGATCACTTGCTTTCCTTGCATTCTCTGTATATTTTGGATCAGAAAGTACATTTAGAATAGCTTGCTCAAGTTCATCGGCCACAAGAGTGTTAATATCCAATGTAACTCCCATTTGTAAATGGTTGCTCAATAGATTTGCATTTTTAGGCTGGTCAAACGATAATGGCAAGGCAATAACTGGTACACCATGATAAATTGTCTCCAAGAATGAGCTCCTTCCACAATGTGTCACAAAGAGGCATGTTTTTGAATATCCCAGTAAATCTTTCTGAGGTAGCCATGTTATTAAATGGGTTAGGCATGAGTGGTCTGGGGTAATCCAATGCTATGTGATTGTTACTTAAAACAAGGCAGACTCTATTGTAACCAATAGAATCCGTTGAAATATTCAAACTGTACTTTGTAATAATCTTCTTTCGCTGAACGTTAGATGAGTATGAGCCATACCCCAATCCTAACCATGCTCCAGTGTTAATCAGTCTTTGTACAAATGTCATTGAATCTGAATATTGCATCAAAACCATTGGAATGATTGACCATGGCACAGGATGGCCAACCTTAAATGCACCAACAAATGAATCCTGAAATGTACCTTCATTGGCATAACCGATTGTGGGTATCTTCAAGACTTCAGACACAATAAGTGATGCTAGTTCGCCAAAATCAACAATAAGGAGATCATAATTCATATGTTTTATTGTTGCTAAAATTTCACTTTTTAAAATGATATCACAAATCAGAGTTGAGTATCCAGTAAGTAAGTCCAAGAGTTCAATAATTGACATCTGCATCATTTTCTCTACTACACTTGGATCATCCAATGGAACATATCCTTCAGGCATGATAAACTCAAAAACTTTGATATTTGTAGATAAAAACTGGGGTTTCCCAAGTCTATCATTTCTTAGCATAGCAACAGAATGTCCAGCATCAGTCAAGATATCAGCCATTTTTTCAAGATTACGAAGTCTAGACGTTGTTCCAGATTGTAGTGGAAAAAGCAAAATCTTTTCTGCTGTGCTTAAACTGACTAGATGTAGCAAACACGCTGTAACCATTAAATACATACTGACTTTGAACAGCATCGTGCTAGTTTAAGATAAGGCCAACTTAAATTTGTGTTGAATGCAGTCTGTTTAAAAAGTTTATGCAAAGACATAAAACATACAACTCAGTGCTACATAAAAAACAAGTGCATCCATAAACATTTGGGAGTTTACATATTATATGGTAGAAAAAGTATTTTGCACATTACTATGACATTTCTATAAAATGGCATTCAACTCCAAGATTTTAGATATGAGCATTGCGTCAGGTTTTCAAAATTGGATTCAAAGAAAAAAGATTTTTTTCAGTTGTTTAAAAAGTTAGGTAAGTAATAATGTATGCTCCTCCAAGTTTCAATGGTTGCCCCTCACTAATGTATGAGTGCACATCTGTGTGAAAAGCACCTTTAGACTACTTTGTCTTCCTTCTTATAAATTTCATAGGAAATTTCTAGGTGTTAAATATCTTGCTAAACAACCATTTGCTTACATACAGCTTTGAAGCAGTGCATAAAGTATGTTCTTTCTAGTCGCACATTTCAAGCACATCTAGGTAGTCCTATACATGAAGTGCATGGTTAAAGACATTTCAAGGCAGGGGGACATCTTAGAGAGCAATAGACTTTTTGGATTGTCGTCAGTTTTACACAAAATAGAGAATTTAAACTTAAGTGGATTGAGTATACTTGTATTGATCCTGGTTCTTGTGGATATTGACATCACTAAAGGAGAGGAGATCTTAATAATTTCTAGCCAATGCAGACGAAATTCAAGACTGCAAAACATGGAAAAAATGGCTGATATTCTTACAGAAGGGGGACATTCCGTCACCATGTTGACAAACAACAAATTAGGAAAGCCACGATTTGAATCACCAAATATCACAACATTTGAATATGCATTACCTGAAGATTTCATACCATGTGATCATCCGAAGGTTGTTGAAAAAATGCATGATGCTTCAGTATTCACTCTAATGGAGATACTATCTAATTACTCACGAGATATCACAAATGGCCTAATGAAGAGCAATCTATTAGAAACAATCAAGAAGAAAAACTATGATTTACTCATTGTGGATCACGTTGAAATATCAGGAATTGTCATGACTGGAGTATTAGATATACCAACTATTTTGTACGCAATTGAAGGGACATATACAGATCTCATAACTGGCCCTGTAGGCCACCCTGTCCCATGGTCATTTGTTCCTAATACACTTACAAAGTTCTCAGATAAAATGACATTCATAGAAAGGTTACTCAATGCGGCAACCCATCTTGCAAATGCACTTGCAATATATCCTATTAAAGGGGAGCTAAAGAGACTGAATGAAGAGTATAATTTAAATATCCCCATTGATCACCAGCGAGTAGATCTTGTAATGAGTAACAGTCATATTGCATTGGAGTACCCAAGACCGCTCATGCCCAACCATGTATACATTGGTGGTTATACACTTGAACCACCAAAGCCTCTTCCTAAAAATATCAATGGCATACTAGCTGACTCACAATTTGATGATATTATCATTGTAAGCTTTGGTTCACTTGTTAAAGATTTGGTGAATCCTGAAAAATATGAAGTTCTTGCTGAAGCTTTTGCAAGACTACCATATACTGTTCTATGGAAACATAATGAGAAGCCACCCACTAACCTAGGAAAGAACACTCATTTGATAAAATGGCTACCTCAGAAAGATTTGCTGGGATATTCAAAAACACGCCAGTTTGTTACACATTGTGGAAGGAGCTCATACTTGGAGACAATTTACCATGGTGTACCAGTTGTTGCCTTGCCATTATCGTTTGATCAGCCTAAAAATGCAAATCTATTAAGCAACCATTTACAAATGGGACTAACATTGGATATTAACACTCTTGTGGCCGATGAACTTGAGCAAGCTATTCTTAATGTACTTTCTGATCCAAAATATACAGAAAATGCAAGGAAAGCAAGTGATTTGTTCAAAGACAATCCTGTGTCTCCAAGAGAAACATTGCTGTACTGGGTGAATTATGTTATTAAACATGATGGAGCTGATCATTTGAAATCCCAGGGAATGAAAAATCTCTCATGGTATCAGTATTTCTTGTTGGATATCATTGGACTTGTACTACTAACTTTGGTTATACTTGCTATTGTTTGTTTCTATTTATACCGATTCATGATAAGATGCTTCAAGTCATGGCTTAAAATTAAACAAGATTAATGATAAGCTTTTTTAATGGAATAACATGCATAGTCAGTGCAGGAATTTAACAAACCCATATAAATAACTGTAACGAGAAAACTGAATTTTTATATAGAGTATACTGTATAAGTGGTATTTAATCTGAGTGGTTAATTTTCCGAATGGTCAAATTTCATCAATTTCCTAATTCTAATTTTCCTAATGACAAGAAACCTCCCATTGGATAACATTATAAAGACAATATTTCCGACATTTAATTTTCCGAACCTAGCAAAAATTAGGAAATAGGCAAATTAAATGATTAGGCAAAATTACCACTTATACAGTAAATATATATTGATATTTTGTAAAATGAATAAAGGTTGAAATTAAACATCATAGTTACTAGTTATGATGATCTTTTGACATTTATTTAGACTCTGTGACACTCTTTTCTAACCCACCTCATTTGAGACTGAGTAATATTACTTGTATGAATATAAATGATATGATAGTTTATTGGTCTCTTGAAAACAATTTAGTTATAGTGAATAAATCTAAAAGGCAATTTATTTAACAAATAAAACATGATTTAGTTTGGTAATATTTCGATTTATTCTTAAAATCTCTTTCAAGCAACTGAAAATGTTTTTTATATTTATGGCATCATATTACAATAGCTAGCAAGACTGTGTTTAACAATACAGTTTCCATTGCAATGTAACAACAACACTTGGTGCATATGGGCTTATGCAGGGGGGGGTGCATTTGGAGCAAATACAGTACACCCCCCCCCCCCACTTTGTTCATGGTGCTGAGGAAAACAATGTGCTCTGGCAAACAAAGTGGAGAATAAGGCTTTAAGTGCAAGCTATGATGGAGACTGTTTTTTTTTGTTTTGGATGAAGATGAACCCCCTTGGTAAAATCCTGATGCACAATTTCATGAGAAAATGTTTAATTGGTCAGTTTTGTTAGTTTTAACAGTAATATTTTATGTTTAAGCTTTTGAGGTAAAGGTTTATGTATATTTATATTAATGAATTGAAGTTTATTCCGTCATGCGCGTTGAGCAATTTTAAAAATCATATAAAAATATAAACTTTTATATGTCTCTGGATCATTTAAGGGTAGCATTTGAAAAGGAAATGTAAGACATCCTTCCTAACCAATGGAGCATAAGCAATATGAAATAAATATGTCTGAATAGTATCCAAGTTATGGCAAATATGTTAATTATTTGATGACAGATGTGATTTTCATAAATATCCCTACGTGAACTTAAGACTCACAGGATAATAAATCTGATATTTTGAAGTCACATTTTGAAGTCACTTCAAACACACAAATGTACATTAACTCGGCTCAATCTTGTTTCCTTTTAGAGTAATTTTTGAAGCATCTTATCATGAATCGGCATGAAAAGAAGCATACAATTGCAAGTATATCAAAAATCAAAAGTGCCAGTCCAATGATATCCAACAAGAAGTACTGATACCATGAGAGATTTTCCATTCCTTCGGATTTAAAATGGTCAGCTCCACCATGTTTAATAACATAATTGACCCAGTACAGCAATGTTTCTTTTGGAGACACAGGATTGTCTCTGATCAAACGACTTGCCTTCCTCGCATTTTCAACATACTCTGTATTAGAAAGAACACTTAGAATAGCTTCCTCAAGTGCATTAGCCTGTAGGGTGTGTATATCAATTACTACTCCCATGTTATGACGACAAGTTAGTTCAGTTGCATGTTTATATTGATCTAATCCAAGAGGAATAGCTACAACAGGTACACCATGGTATATTGTCTCGAATGTAGAGCTAACTCCACAATGTGTCACAAACAGGCGTGTTCTTGAATCACCCAGCAAATCATTTTGAGGAAGCCATTTTATTAAATGGGTATTCTTTCCAAGGTTAGCTGGTGGCTTCTCAGTGTGTTTCCATAGTACTGTATATGGGAGTCTTGCGAATGCTTCAGCAAGAACTTCATATTTTTCGGGATTCATCAAGGCCTTAACGTATGATCCAAAGCTCACAATGATGAAATCATTGAATGGTGAGTCATCAAGAAGCTTAGTAATATAATCAGGAAGAGCCTTTGATGGTTGTAGAGTATACCCTCCAATATATTTATGGTTAGTGCCAAAGAAGCTGTTCATTTACCTTCGGATACAGGATGTCCTGATGTTATCTTCTAGGGGGCGCCCCGTAACGATGATCTAATATTTCTACAGCTTGCTTCTTGTATTATTTGTTCTTGGATATAACTTCTTATTTTAGGTTTCTAGGCTTCTAATTATGTTTATTAATTGTTTCATATCTCATCTCAGCTCAGGTTCTCATTATACTCTCTCTCTAACTCTATCTCTCTCTGAGGTCAACTGAACTTCTTCTAACTGCCTGTAACTTTTACTCTACTAATTAATCTTACTATTTCACACTTACTTGTAAATTGGCTCAATATCTACACTAACTTCTTATAATTACTCTGTTTACATCACATCTCCCCCTTTTTTCGAGATGGCGATACTCAGCCAGCTTTAAGATTAAAATCATCTGCGACTTGCAGATCATAAAATTCATTTAGATGTCTTCTCTAAGTTTAAACTTTTTTTTTCTTTTTTTTTATCTTATGTAAAACTACCCTTTTCTCTATATCAACAGTGTCTCTGTCACTTAAGTTTTTATGTTATTTCTCTGTATACTCTTACAGTCTGGATAAAGCATCTGCACATCCATTAAGTTTGCCAGATCTGTGCATTACTTTGAAATCGTACTGCTGTAAATTAAGTATCCATCTTGTAAGCCTCTGGTTATTGTTATGCATTTCGTTCAGCCATTTTAGTGGATTGTGATCGGTAACCACAACAAATTTTCGTCCTAGTAGGTAATATCTCAAGTAATTGATGGCCCATACAATCGCAAGACATTCTTTCTCTATCACCGCATAGTTTTTCTCCCTTGGAAGTAACTTGCGACTAAGATACATGATTGGGTGTTCACCATCCTTGAAATTCTGACTCAATACTCCAGAGATTCCTATATCAGAGGCATCTGTGATCACAAGAAACTGTTTCGTGAAGTCTGGGCTCTTAAGGATTGGTTCAGAACACAAAGCCTTCTTCAACGTCTCTACTGCAGTTTGTTCTTTACTTCCCCATGGTATTTTCACTGCTACTGATTTCTTAGTTAACTCTGTCAGTGGAAAGGCTATGTCTGCATACTTTGGAATGAATTTCCGAAAGTATCCCGTCATTCCTAAGAATGTTCTCAGGTTCTTCTTAGTGTGTGGTTTCTCAAATTTTTGAATTGACTCTGTCTTCTCTGAGCTTGGTCTTACTATACCACCTCCAACTCTATGTCCTAGATATTCTGCTTCCTCATAGGCAAATTTACATTTAGATGGTTTTGCAGTTAAATCATGTTTTCTCAACCTTTCTAGTATATGTCTGATGTCACAAAGGTGGGCCTCAAAGCTGCTGCTGAAGATCACAAGGTCATCGAAATAAGCATCAGAAAAGGTTTCTGCTCCTTCTAACATCTTGTCCATTGCTCTCTGGAATGTTGCTGGTGCCCCATGTAAACCAAATGGCATTCGTTTAAATTGAAATGTTCCGAAAGGAGTTAAAACTGATGTCTTCTCCTTGGAATCTTCACTCAGAGGAATTTGCCAAAAACCTCGGCATAAATCCATGACTGTAATGAATACAGCTGTTGCTAGCCCATCTAAAATTTCATCTATCCGTGGCATTGGGTAGGCGTCAAACTCTGTTACTTTATTCAGGTCTCTAAAATCGACACAGTCTCGTAGCTCACCATTTTTCTTCGGTACAAATACAAAGTTGGCTCCCCATTCACTTACAGATGGCTCCATTATCCCTTTGGAAACCATTTTGTTTACTTTCTCTTTCATTAACTCAACATATGCTTTTGGAAACCTTCTAAGCTTTTGTCTGACTGGTTTTGAATCTTTAGTGTTGATATGGTGCACAATTATGTCTGTTAGCCCAGGCTCATCTGACAATACATCTTGGTATTCTTGAAGTAATGTTTCAACTCGTCTCTTCTGCTCTCTTGATATGTTAGGTGAAATGTTGTATTTAACTTCTTCATTCTCTTGTACTGTTGTTGGCCATTGTATTGGCATAAAATCCTCGTCATCATCCTCTTCTTGTATCTCCTCTTGAATAGTTTCTGTAGTGAAGCAACAGAAGTCATCTGGACTTGTGTACCGTTTCAACAGGTTCACATGGTACGTTTTCACCTTGTTTCCAATTTGAACATCATAATTCACTTTGTTACACCTTTTCACAATCTTAAATGGTCCTTGCCATCTTGCTTGCAGCTTCATATTACTTGAAGGCAATAACAGTAATACGTTATTTCCTGGATGAAACTCTATGTCTCGTGATTTCTCATCGTAATACCTTTTCTGTGTGTGTTTTGCTTCTGCGACATTCTTCTTCACAATCTCTCTAGTATCCATTACTCTGTCTCTCATCTGTGTCACATACTCGATAACATTTGTGTTTGCTTCTGTGTTTGGTTCCCATTTCTCAGCTAGTATATCTATCGGTCCCCTTACTGCTCTTCCATATAGCAGTTCAAACGGAGAAAATCCAGTTGTCTCATGTGGAACTTCACGATAGGCAAACAGTAAATATGGCAAATATACATCCCAATTCTCTGGTTTATCTGCTGTCAGCTTTTTGATCATTTTAACTAAAACTCCATTATATCTCTCAGTCTGTCCATTTGTCTGCTGATGGTATGGAGTTGTTTTTATTCCTTTTATCCCTATCATGTTGTACACCTCCTGCATTAGATTTGACAGAAAATTTGTGCCTTGGTCAGATAAAATTTCTTTCGGGACTCCTACTCTACTAAACTGCACAATTAACTCTTCCGCTACCTTCTTGGAATCAGTAACTTTCATGGGCACCGCTTCTGGGTATTTTGTTCCATAATCTGTTGTTACTAATATGTATTTGTTCCCTCTCTTTGATCTCTCTAATGGACCTACTATGTCCATTCCAATAACACTAAATGGTTCTGTGATAATTGGCAGTGGTATCATCTGTGCTCTGTTGGAATTCATCTTTCGTGATGTCTTTTGGCAGATATCACAACTGTTGCAATATGCTTTCACATCTCTATGGATTCCAGGCCAAAACATCTTCTTCATGATTCTCAATGTTGTTTTCTTTATCCCAAGGTGTCCTGAGATAGGAATGCTGTGAGCTAATTCCAAGGTTTTCTTTCTACATTTTTGTGGTAGTACAATCTGTTCCATGATTTCCCCATTTTGATTTTTGATTCTTCTAACAATCAGGTTTTCTCGCTTTGCAAAATATGGTGTGGCTTGTTCTTCTTCAGGTATCATTATAACAGATTTTCTAATATGGGTAAGTGTATGATCTGTTTCTTGCATCTTTATCAACTCTTCTCGGCTGATATCATCTATGTTTGCATCTGTCTCATCAACTTTACACATGTTCTTTCTTTGATGTCTCTTCTCCCTTCTTGTTGGCTTGTGTTTTATTTGTGTTGGTGGTTTAAACAGAGTTTCGTCAAAGTGAAATGGTAGTTTCTCATCTCTATATTCACTGCTATTTGTATGGTTTTCATCGTCAACTTGTATCAGCTTTGCATTAGACTGCTCATCCTTCTCTAGATCAGACCTTTCTTCTTCAGCCTGCATTTTCTTCTGATTTCTAGTGGTAACAAATGCCCTACTTTTAGTTTTGTATATATATCTGTCCATCTTCTCTTGATCCAGTTTGGATAAGATATCTTGCCCAATCAGTACAGAAGCAGGAAGTGTGTCAGAAACAGCTGCCTTTATTTTGTATATTTCATCTTCTATGTTGATCTCTACAACAGCAGTTGGATAGGATTGTCTATCTCCATGAACACAAGTCATCTCAACTGTTTCGTCATGTGTAACTGAATCATCTTGAATCAGGTCTTTATTGACAATAGTTTTGAAGCTTCCTGTGTCAAGTATCATCTCCACATCTTCTTTCTCATTCAACTTGGCTAAAACTGTTCCATCTTTCCTTGATTTATATTGTGAAAATATGTCTTTAGGTAAAGAACATAAAAATGCTGGTTTTCCCGATCCTAAATAACATTTCTCTTTCACGTGCCCATATCTATTGCATTTTTCACAGTGTAGAGATTTATCCACGCGGCATTCTTCCGTTTTATGGTTTCGCAATCCGCAATTATTACACTTGGGTCTACCATCTGACGTATCTGGTAATTTTCTCTGCCCGATCTTGAAATCTGAAGAACACTCAATTTCTTTATGTCCAGGTTGGCGACATTTTCGGCAAATAATGTCTTGAGGGCAATCCTTCGAAACGTGACCCTTTTCATGGCAGTTGTAGCACTCTCCTGAATTCATGCTAGGTTGTCTCCAGTTAGATGAATCAGCACCACTAAATCTTCTGTTACTATTTGACGGCTTCCATCTCTCATTTTTATTCCAGTATACAGCATCGGATTTTCTTGCCTCTAGAAAGTTATCAGCAAACTTTATAACTTCATCTGTGTTACTGGCATCGTTTTCTTTGACCCACGTCTGTACTTCTGCCGGTAGAGTAGTAACTAGCTGCTCTTTGATCAAAACATCACTCATCTCCTCAACTGTTGTAACACCTTTCATCCATTTCTTGAAAACATCTCGAAGTCTGATAGTGAACGGTTGTATTCCTTCTCCATCTTCTCGTTTGAGGTTTCTAAATCGCTTTCTATATGTTTCTGCGTTAATGGCATAGCGCTTTAAAATTGCCTCTTTGACGATATCATAGTCACTTGCATTATCTTGATCTACACTTGCATATGCTTCTTGTGCTTTCCCAGTAAGGCTTGCTCCCAGTTTTAGGGTCCAAAATTCCTTAGGCCATTTGCACATTGTTGCAGTTCTTTCGAAGATTGTGAGGAAATTTTCAATGTCTTCATTATCTCTTAATCTAGGTATAAACGGATCTTTTGGCTTGTGTTTTTCTTCTTTATCTTCTTTTCTTTCTTTTTGACGAAGTTTACGTTCTTCTTCAATCTCCCTTCTTCTTAATTCTTCTTGGTATCTCCTTTCATCCTCTATGTCTATCCTTCTTTGTTCCTCAATTCTTTTCCGTTCTTCTTTTTCAGCTTGGATTTCTTCTCTTCTAAGTTGTTCCTGAATCTTTCTTTCTTCTTTTTCAGCTTGTATTTCAGCTAGTCTTATCTTCTCTTGTCTTAAGAACATCTCTCTGTCTTGTTCGGTCTTTTTCATCATTGAAGTCATCATAAACATCATCTGTTGCTGCATCTGTATGGGGTTGAATTGTAACATCGTAGGATCTGGCTCAATAGAGTGTTTTTCTTCAACTGGCTCATCAGATGCTTCTTCATACTCCTCTTCTTTCTGCTTCTTTTTCTCTTTATCATCCTCCATTTCTTTTGTTGGATTTTCCTCTGGTAATCCTTTATGATACTTTGTATTCCTTGTATCAACTGGCATGAGTAATTGTTGTATAATCGCGTTTTAATCTTTACAACAACATAAATCCATTGAAATACGCGGAAAATATTGTTTTAGTATAGTGTACTGTATAGAAATAAATGCGTAAATTGTTTGGTCCTAATAGGCCTATGTATTTTTATAACATGTTGTTCTATGAAGTATTGAAAATGTTATTATCTATGGGCCACTGTACTCAATATATCAATCAATATATTATAGAGTTGAAAATAATTGAACCTAATGGGCCACTGTAGGGGGAAAAAATTATATACAGTTGTTAAATATTTGGTACTTATGGGCCACTGTAGTGAAACACTTGTCAGTAGAGTGACTGATAAAAATGGGCCACTGTATTAATCTAAAACTAATTTGGTATTAAAATATTTTGTACCAATGGGCCACTGTACTGAAATTATTGGCCATGGATTCTTATCATTATCACACCAGAACACTTGTTTGTTTTGTCAATACAACGATTGTTTTAAATGGCTAATTTTAATACCTTGTATTGCTATAGTCAAATCTGAATTGCCACTTTCATACAAGGCAGTTCAAACAAGGCTAAAAGCTAATTGCAATTGAACCTTACTGTTGGTTGAATTCAACTAATGTATCTAATTAATCTAAACTACTACTCATAACTCAATTTCAATCTGTATATTAATGTACCCAGTTGACCTCAATATTTTGTTTCTCAAACTCTGAATCTTCTCAAAAGATTTTACTCTGCTCAATTTCTCTACTCAATTGCAGTGTTTCAAATTCTCTAATGCAATGTCTCAAATTCTCTAATGCAATGTCTCAAATTCTCATGCAGATCATCTCAATCTGGATCTCTATGCTTCCCAAGCAAATCTCAATTTCAAAATGTTAAATAATCTTCATCTCTTGAATCCTCACCAAAGCCTTGGAAAAGTAATGTAGTTCATGACTTACTGCTTTTGAAGACACGGTTTTCTCACTTACTGCCCTTGAAGACGTGTTGATTCTGGTATCGCTGCCACCATGCCAAAGAAGCTGTTCATTTACCTTCGGATACAGGATGTCCTGATGTTATCTTCTAGGGGGCGCCCCGTAACGATGATCTAATATTTCTACAGCTTGCTTCTTGTATTATTTGTTCTTGGATATAACTTCTTATTTTAGGTTTCTAGGCTTCTAATTATGTTTATTAATTGTTTCATATCTCATCTCAGCTCAGGTTCTCATTATACTCTCTCTCTAACTCTATCTCTCTCTGAGGTCAACTGAACTTCTTCTAACTGCCTGTAACTTTTACTCTACTAATTAATCTTACTATTTCACACTTACTTGTAAATTGGCTCAATATCTACACTAACTTCTTATAATTACTCTGTTTACATCACAGTTAGGCATGAGTGGTCTGGGGTAATCCAATGCAATGTGATTGTTACTTAAAACAAGACATACTCTACTGAGGCCAGCAGTATCTGTTGAAATATTCAAACTGTACTTTGTAATAATCTTCTTTAGCTGAATGTTAGATGAGTATGAGCCATACCCCCATCCCAACCATGCTCCAGTGTTAATCAGTCTTTGTACAAATGTCATTGAATCTGAATATGGCATAAAAACCATTGGAGTGATTGCCCATGGCACAGGATGGCCAACTTTTAAAGTACCAACAAATGAATCTGGATATGTACCTTCATTGGCATAAGCAATTGTGGGTATTTTCAGGACTCCTGACACAATATGTGATGCTAGTTCAGTATAATCAGCAATAAGGAGGTCATAATCCATATATTTTATTTTTTTTAGAATATCACTTTTTAAGATGACGTCACAAATCAAACTTGAGTATCCTGTAGCTAAGTCAAAGAGTTTAATAATTGACATCTGCATCATTTTCTCTACTACACCTGGATCATCAAATGGAACATATCCTTCAGGCATGATAAACTCAAAAACTTTGATATTTGTAGATGAAAACTGAGGTGTCCCAAGTCTATCATTTCTTAGCATAGCAACAGAATGTCCAGCATCAGTCAAGATATCTGCCATTTTTTCGAGATTACGAAGTCTAGACGTTGTTCCAGATTGTAGTGGAAAAAGCAAGATCTTTTCTGCTGTACACAAATTGAGCAGATATAGCCCACATATTGCTACTATTAAATACATACTGACTTTTAACAGCATCATGCTACTTAATAAGATAAAGTCAACTGAAAATGTGTTGAATCCTCTCTGTTTAAAAAGTTTATACAGACATATAACATTTTACTATTTTACAGAAGGTCTATACTGAATGCTGACTCCAATGCTGTCTGCTTATTACATTGCAGCTTTGTTAGGTTTATTCTGGGACATATAAATCATCAATAACATCACGTATGGTGCACACTAATAATAAATTTCGAAACTATAGGGGAAGACCATTTAATATGTGGGGACCTAAAGCTTTTCAGGTCAGAATACCATAATTTTAATTGGTAAGTCTCAAACATCATCATCCCCTCCTTGCAATGTTGACATGCATGGAATTTTCTAGGAACATTAAGAATATCAAATAAAGTAAACAACTGAGATTTGCAGGAAATCGTACATCTACCTATTTATTAGATAAACTAGGGCAATGCCCTTTACCTCTGAACTTTTATTTTTCTGATCCATGCAGTCAAAAAATTAAATATTGTCTTAAACAGACAGGGAGATTTTTAAACACTCCTTGAGAAAGCTTCTCAGTGTTTTATGTTACGAACTTGGACGGAGTTGAAGAATATGAAAGAATGAGTCGGGAAATATGCCCTTTTATTCTGATACTCATCACATCTTTCTGTCATCAACCAGAAATATTTGTGAATATACATGTATAAGCACAAATGCCAAAAGGTAAAACACTTTAAGGAAACCCAACAAGAAAAGGAAACTGTAAGTGTAAATCTGTCATAAGAAAAGTAGACCCTATATATCCCAAACCATGATCTAACGTGAAAAGAAACAATGTCTAGCATCCCCCTCCCCCCTCGAATCGAGAACCAATATCTCAATCCAGGAAGCTATAGTAGGCCATGATATCTCGTGATGATGCCCTTTAGTTCCTTGTTTAAATGTATGTGAAATATAGTTTTATTATACTGTCCTAGTTACATTTGATAAGTGTCTGTTTTTATGACTTATAATGCATAATTATTACCTTCAGCTGAAAGTCAGAATAGGTATCCTAACAAAAAAATGTTATCAAGAAAAAAGCAAAAAGACAACATGTACAAATATCACGGTAGAAAAAAACATAAAGACCAATAAAGAAAGTCAAATTTTTGAAATATATTTAAGGTTTTTAATTTTTCCAAATATTTGAATTTCCTGCAATATTACTTTGAAAGGTGAAAACAAGAAGATGGTTGCCACTTGATGTAATATGATATCAGAAAAATGTTTTACTTCAGTTTTTAAATTGAGAACAGTTTCAAGGTCCAAGTTTTTTTTTACTGATTTTGACTGTTCATCAATAGGGTCATGTGTGTGTGTAAATTTTAACACAAAGCTTGGCTTAACATGAAATAAGCTGAAATATATACATCTTCACCAGTTCAAATGAAGTGTCAAAATAAGCTGTAGCAAAGCAGTTTCGGAGGATGAGCTTCTAACTTTTTGTAAAAATCTTTAATTTAGTATTTACAATTGTACTTTTTCAATTCTACCTTATTGATATGCATTGCCTTAGTACCTGTCCTTAAAGAAATTTGAAAATATGTGAGAAATAGATCTAAGCTTTTGTACATTTTTTGCTCTAAAGAATGGTATAGGTTTTTAAACTGGCTTCGAAGAAATATGGTCTACTTTTTCAATTGTTTAAAATGTTGGATAAGTAAAAAAGTTTAAATGGTTGTTCCCTCACTTATGTAGGAAAACATGACACAGGGTGAACTCTAAGTGAATACCGTGCTTTGCATTCATTCATATACATTTTTAGAAATACAAGCAAAAAAATATTTTGCTAAACAACTATTTCCATACATACAGCTTTAAAGTAGTGCAAAGGGAATGAATTTGTGTCTAGTCAATGCACATGTCTAGCTTACCTACATAAAATTGACATAATAAAATTTAAAAGGATAAAACGATAAGGTCAATTACCACAACATACTACAGGGCGAACTATTGGGGACACCAGACCTATACATGTGCATGAAATACATAGTTTGACACATTTAAAGGCAGAGGGACATCTAAGAGAGCAATTAAGCTGTTTGTTGGATTGTTGTCAATATAGTACAAGATGCCGAATTCAACCGTAAATGGATTGAATATATTTGTCATGATACTGTTTTTTATTTATATCAAAAACACTAAAGGAGAGAAGATTTTAATAGTATCCAACCAATGCGGACGATCTTCAAGACTGCAAAACATGGAAAAAATGGCTGATATTCTTACAGAGGGGGGACATTCCGTCACCATGTTGACAAACAATAAATTAGGAAAGCCAAGATTTGAATCACCACATATCAAAACATTTGAGTATCCATTACCTAATGATTTTATGCCATGTGATCACCCCAAGATTGTTGAAAAAATTCTTGATGCTTCAGTATTCACTCTAATGGAGATAATATCCAATTACTCACGAGATATCACAAATGGCCTAATGAAGAGCAATCAATTAGCAACAATCAAGAAGCAAAACTATGATTTACTCATTGTCGATTATGTTGATAGAATATTAACAACTGTCACAACTGGAGTATTAGATATACCAACTATATTGTATGCGAATGAAGGGACTTATACACCTATTATAACTGGCTTTGTCAGCCACCCTGTCCCGTGGTCATTTGTTCCAAATACATTTACAACATTCTCAGATAAAATGACATTCATGGAAAGGATGCTTAATTCAGCAGCCCATTTTGCAAATGCACTTGCTATATATCCTGATATGGGAGAGCTAAAGAGACTGAATGAAGAGCATAGGTTGAATATCTCCATTGATCGGCAGAGAGTAGATCTCATAATAAGTAACAGTCATATTGCATTGGAATACCCAAGACCTCTCATGCCCAACCATGTATACATTGGTGGTTATACACTTGAACCACCAAAGCCTCTTCCTAAAAATATCAATGACATACTAGCTGACTCACAATTTAATGATATTATCATTGTAAGCTTTGGTTCATTTGTTAAAGATTTGATGAATCCTGAAAAATATGAAATTCTTGCTGAAGCATTTGCAAAACTCCCATATACCATACTATGGAAACACACTGAGAACCCACCTGCTAACCTCGGAGAGAACACCCATTTAATAACATGGCTACTTCAGAAAGATTTACTGGGATATTCAAAAACATGCCTCTTTGTGACACATTGTGGAAGGAGCTCATTCTTGGAGACAATTTATCATGGTGTACCAGTTATTGCCTTGCCATTATCGTTTGACCAGCCTAAAAATGCAAATCTATTAAGCAACCATTTACAAATGGGAGTTACATTGGATATTAACACTCTTGTGGCCGATGAACTTGAGCAAGCTATTCTTAATGTACTTTCTGATCCAAAATATACAGAAAATGCAAGGAAAGCAAGTGATTTGTTCAAAGACAATCCTGTGTCTCCAAGAGAAACATTGCTGTACTGGGTGAATTATGTTATTAAACATGATGGAGCTGATCATTTGAAATCCCAAGGAATGAATAATCTCGCATGGTATCAGTACTTCTTGTTGGATATCATTGGACTGGTACTTTTGACTTTGGTTATTCTTGCTATTATATCTTTCTATTTGTGCCGGTTTGCAATCAGATGTTTTAAGTTTTGTTTTAAAAGGAAGCAAGATTAATATTATGCTCTTTGAATGCAATGGTACAACAATACTGCAGAAAAATTTAACAAATCCATCTAAAATGAAAAGTACAGTATCTGTAATGAAAATTTGTAAATAAATAAATGTTGAAGTTGACAATGTTTCTTTGTGGATTCAATAATATTTGAGGATATTGGGGGTTCTTTTCCCTTACGACCAGTTTTATTCCAATCAAAGTTACATGTCTGTTTACCTCAAAAATATCCAATTTGGGAAAATATGTAAAAATTGCTTATTTTCTAAAACAATATCTACATGTTCTAAAATTAAGCATATGAAGGAATATATTAAGCATATTAATAACTTGTGTAAAACCACTATTCGAGTAGAGAGGTTACAGTTGGGTTAATGGAAAATAGGAACATTTTGGTGTGAAACATCCCCTTGACTTTTCTTAATAAAATATAATCATGGGTACTGCGCTCACATGGTTTTGTTTTTTTAGTTTTTGGATTTAAAGTCCAAAACCACTTTTTAACATATCAGTTGTAAAGTTTTGTACCAAGAAACATCCACAAAATATTCAGATCAATCAAACAAATGGTTTGGCCTGAAACCTATAAACAAGACTTCATAGACAAGATTTTAGGACAGATAATCCAAAATTAGCAGACAAAAAGAAAGCAGATATGAATATTTGTCAATTTTTGTTCACACTATTACTTCATGATATTACTCTTAACAGTGAAGTGACATGGGTTTTTTGTATTGATGTTTTGAATAAATATAACTTTAAACAGAATCACAGAAGTTTTAAAATCCCTGAAGTTTTTTTGTTTTTTTTGTTGTAATATGCTTATGTTTCCATATTGAATTAAAAGATGTCTCACCTAGATGCCTTGTTCTGTACCACAGGAGGCAGTTGCTGTGGGTCTCCCACTAACACAAACTTCTTGCTGCAGAACAATGGGCCAAAACACGTAGGCTGCAGAACCTGAGATGCCTCATCGATTATGCACACATCAAATTTCCGTTGCCCAAATATGGGATGTGTTGCTCCAAGACATGTGGTTGCAACAATGTTCTGGAAATTGATATTGAAAAAGATAGGATATAGTGCAATGGAGGTACAATACTTTAGCATGATCAAAATATTGTTGACAAATAACTTTTACAATGATGTATAAGAATGTTCCTGTTCTGATTAATCAAATGATTATTATAACATTATTTGAAAACATAAAAAGAAACAACAAGGCACTAACTGCCAAATGCTGCTACAGACACTGAAAGATGTTACAGATGTCATACAGCAACTAACAGCAACACCTCCACAAAAATGTTCGAGACTACAACAATATGTCACCAATTTTAGTAGTGACATAAAAATGCCTTTATTGTAAAGTGACCATAACTATAATGTGAACTGAGTTATAATGAATCTGTTCAACTAACCTTGCTCGAATAAAAATCCTTGAGGTCTTCTACATTAGTGAACTGTTGTGTTAGATTCTCAGCTGCATATGGCAAAATATCAGGATGTATACGACCCACCCTGCCAACCCTAAGGAAGTCTACTTTGCACTGAAATAGAAAATAAGTGTATGTGGCACTCTGCAAATAACTAACTTAAAGTTGTAGACTACTCATGTCTTAATATATTCCAACAAGAATATCAAATTTTTTTTTTTTATATATATTTATTTATTCACAGTAAAACATTTGTTTACAGTATAATTGATTTCTTAGTCACTAATATAAATACATAATACTTATTGATTAGAAATGGTACGGGGCACCGGTTTATATGAAAAATAAAAATAGCTTAAAATGTGAGTGGTCTTCAGTTTTCTTCATTTTTTTTTAAACATCCTGAGTTTTGTCCATAGAATGTCATGTGTTTTATTTTTTGCGCATGTACTTTCTATAAGTTCATCATTTGTTGCATAGTTTCTCCATTCTGTCATGTTGGGGCGGTTTTTTTTTCATTTTACACTTGTAGATATATGTTTTTTGTTTCAGGTGCAGTAAGATGTCTTCAGGTTGGCTGTTTGTTCCAAGAAGAAAACTATCTCGTTTCGGGGTATCTTCTTTCAATATACTGCTGCATTGTTTTAGGAATTCTTTTACAACTACGCAGTCATATAATCCATGTTCTATCGTGTCCAGTTCCTCCTTACACAGATCGCAGATTGGGGAAGATACGTTGGGTATCTTCATTTCAAATAAGCCTTTGTTGAAGTATATGATTCTCGATATGAGCTTGTATTGGAAACAAATATGTCTGATGTTAACTGTTAGTTTCCTTGTGTTTAGGTATATTTTTTTCCAGGTTATATTCCGGTTTTGTAGCTTTTCTTCCCACTTCTCCTGTGTCGTTATTGCTGGGTTTAGTATATTGTTCTTTTTTAGTAGGTATTTGTATGTCATCTTGTTTGGTGACTTTGTGAACCATTCCTTAATGCTTGGCTCCGAGTCTTGTGTACTTTTGTCCTTCATTCGATCTTTCCATTCTTTTGGTATTGCTGATGTCACTTTTATGACATCCAGAAAACATATGGTTTGAAAGTTGTACTTTCTGATGATCTGTTCTCTTGACATTGGTTTATCTTTATCGAATATATCTTGAATGGTGTGAATACCATGTTCTTGCCATGTTTTGAAATTCATCACCTGTCCACCTGATTTTATACAGTCATTGTTCCATATGTTGGATTCTTTGGGGCATTTTATTTGTCTTGTTGATTCAAACTTTAGGTTACACCAGTTTTTGTAGCAGTGTATTAAGGAATTCAGTTGGAGCCTATTTATCTCTTTGTTGTCTTCTTTGAGATTATACTCCCATATTTTTTCTTCATTTAAGTTCTTGATATAATTTTTCCATATGTTTTTCCATTTCCCTTTACAGTTTTCATCCATTAGTTTCTTGATCCATTTAAGGTTTTAGTTCCGTATATATGTTTTAATATGAATCATTTCGAGGCCTCCCTCTTCATATGAGTTCATAAGGACCCTTCTTTTAATTTTGTCTGGTTTATTGCTCCAAATGAATTTAAAGAGGATATCTTCAATTTCCTTGATAGTGTTTTCTGGTGGGTTGAGTATGGAGGACATGTATGTAATCTGTGCAATAAGCAGGGCCTTTGTAACAGCTATCTTTCCTATAATGGTTATGTTCCTTGGGGTCCAACTTTTTATAATGTTATTTATTCTCAGAATGGCTTTTGGAAAATTCAGATCGTTAATATCTCTCCCGTCAAGCGGTATAGTAATTCCCAGAACATTTATTTCATCTCTCTTGATGGCAAGATTCAAGGTGTGACAGTCTTCTTCCATTTTGTCTTGATCTACGTTGCTTCCAATTGTTGCTATTTCTGTTTTGGTGACATTGATGTTAAGTCCGAAACAAGCTCCGAATGTTTTAAAGATATCTAGTGCTTTTTTTAGTGATTGGGTGTTTTTTAGCAAGAGGCATGTGTCATCCGCATATTGCGATATCTTTGCTTGTTCTCCTGGTATGTTCACTCCTTCTATTTCCTTGTTAATGCGAATATTTGTTCCTAGAATTTCCACACAAATTATGAAAAGGTAAGGGCTAAGTGGGCACCCTTGCCTCACTCCTCTTTCTAGAGAAAAGTAGTTTGATGAGTAGCCATTGTTCATGATGCAACTTTCTATTGATTTGTAAAAAGTTTGAATCCATTTTATTATTGAGGGGCCAAATCCAAAGTATGAAAGTGTTTTTTCTATGAAGGACCATTCTAGAGTATCGAAGGCTTTTTCAAAGTCAATGAAAGCTAGTATCCCAGGTTGGTCTGTCTTCTTTAGGTGTTCCATTGTGTCTATGATTAAGCGGATGTTTTCCCCTATGTATCGTCTTTTTATAAACCCAGTTTGGTCTTCTTGTATGATGTGTTTTAAAGTTTGCTTGATCCTTTCTGCTATACATTTTGTGGCTATTTTGTAGTCGGAGTTTAGTAAGGAGATTGGCCTCCAATTTTTTAGCTGTTTATGATCTCTGTCCTTCTTTGGAAGGAGGGTTATGATACCTCTTCTTTGTTCGTTTGATAATTCCCCATTTTGATATGCTGTATTTAAGCTGTTTACAAGTAAGGTTATTACTTCATCTACCAGGGCTTTGTAAAATTCATTTGTGAGGCCATCTGACCCTAGTGACTTATTTCTTTTGAGATTTTTGATTTGATCCTTGATCTCTATTTCTGTTATTTTCCTTTACATTTGTTTTTCATGTTCAAATGTTTAGCTGTTGTATACTCTATTCATGTACATGTAGTTGTAAATATATACGAGATGGGACAAACACCGAAACATGTATAAAGAGTGTTAAGACATGTATAACATGAAGAAAATTGAAAATATAAAGTATATTTGAATTTACCTTTACTAGTTTGAGAAGTATATTGTCCACAGCAGAGTGAGTATAACTTGCTAATAAGACACTACGGCCAAGTAGAGATAGAATTCTCACCAGCGAGACTATGGTGGATGTCTTCCCTAAAATACAAACATTGAAAATATACATCCCAGTAGAGATAGGATTCTCACCAGAGACACTATAGTGGATGTCTTTCCTAGAATACATAATGTTCAAACATTGAGCTGAAATGTTGGCCAAGAATGTGTAGGATTCAAATATACTACGCTAAAGTACAGACTGAGTCAAAGATTTATTTAATGAATGGTGAGACACCCCCTTTTCTTAGGGACTCTTAAAAAGGATTAGTTTTATATCAATGGATCCATTTCAACTTCATTTTCTTCTTTTCAATACATATGTACAGAAGAACCTGTGTAAGTGGAACACCCTTGACCACAAAAGTGTTTCACTTGGAGCTTTGAGCCACTGGACTTTTAAAAACTCATCCCACTTGTGAGATGTTCCACTTGGCAGTTTCTACTGTACTAGACCTTTTGTATTGGAAATGCTTATTTATTTAAGGTAACATGATTTCATATCTATCAAGAATACCTATAAAGAGTTTTTGTTTCCCTTTAAGAATTCAAAATTGTAAAATTATTACACTTAAAATCATAACAATTTCTATAATTCACACACTGTTGTAAAACCTGTCTATCTGAACGCCACTGGGACCCTTCAAAATTAACATTTTTAGGTTTCTTAATATGTGAATCAATGGGAGATTATAACAAAGCATTAGCATACAAAATTTCAAATTTGCTATTGATTACACACGCCAAACACTGTTACAGACGCCGACCGCAAAGCAATGGCCACAAAAGTGGACTATAACGATCTGTCAATAATAAATGAGAAATGACAAAAAAAGTTCACATAACTGCGAGGTATTTAGATCAGATAGACCTTCAGATATACAGGTTTTACTGTACTATAAATCCATACCTGTCCCTGGGTAACCCTTTATGAGAACATAATCCCTACAGAGTAGCACCTTCAGTATAGCAGTCTTTTGTGGCTTGTTCAGGTTCTTGAAGATATGCTTCACTGAAATACATTAGGCCAGAGTATATACAATGTTTAATATTTTATGATTTTTACAAAAACCTCCCCACTAGATGAGAACTCAAACATCTGCCTTCTTCACAAAATAGAATCATTCAATACAGATTTTTTTCAAAACATATTACAAAAATCAACATTCAAACACTTGCGAAAACATACATAATATTCACATTTTAAGTTGCTGGATAAAGAGAATTGACAATTGATCAACTACATATAAAGATTTTTTCCGTACCTTTTTCGAGGCATGTCTTTGACATTGTTCCTTCAAACTCAGGTTTACGTTTGTTTATGATGACATCTCTGAGTCTTGCACTGACATCATTGTCTGACATCAAACGTGATAAATTAACAAAATTGGTTGTCATGGAGTTGTAGGAATCACATTTGTCAATACGATAAGTGGCTTTCAAATTTTCTGGTTTCTTCGATAAATCTCTGAAAAATAAATTTTGATGAGATATTGTGCATTACTGAAGTCCATATCAGGAAGATGTTGCATGGATAAAAATGGCTTAAACATACAGTAAAACCTGTGTACAGTGAACACCTATGGAGCCACAAATATGTGTTCAGTATAGGTAGGTGTTCATTAAAAGAGTCGGTCAGAAGGGCTGTTCACTACACACAGATGTTCAACAGAGAGAGGTGTTCACTAAGACAGGTTTCACTGTACTGCAATAATAAGCTGATATTTTGTGTGTTTTCCATGTTTGAGCAGTACATGTTTACAGTACTAAATCATGAAGAGTTTACTCATCATGGTATTCCATGGAGAGAAATTAAAAAATGCATTCTAGTATTTGTAGCACAATAACAGTGCAAAATCATGGAGGGTTGACTCATCATGGTATTCCATGGAAATTGGAGAGAGTGCAAAGGACGATTCTCGGTTTGGAGAACAGTTTCCTGGGCTAATAATTTCTTTCATGAAAAATATAGAAATATTACCCAAATTAAACTATGAATATTCAAAAGAGGACATTTAAATCTACAAGATGTAAAAATAACAAATTGGTCTGAAGCAGGGATAACGCTCAATTAGACCGATTCAATAAAATACAAGTCTCGATTTGGGGGAAAGAAGTTCATCAGTGTACTGCGCTAATATTTTTTTGCGAAAAATCTAGAAATATTACCCAAATTAAATTATGACTATTCAAAAGAAGACATTCAAATCTATATGATGTAAAAAAATCAAATTTGTGCGAAGCAGGGATAATACTCATTTAGATTGATGAACTTCGTTCTCAAAACCGAGAATCGTCCTTTAGAAATTTTCTGTGTCTTAAACATTTCACAAAATCACAAAAACATTCTACACATGTGAGTGGGTGGTAAAAGGTTGACTCAATTCATAAAAGGCGCAATCAGATCAAGTGATCAACCTATCTTATAACAATGTTTTAAATCATGTGTTCATTTTTGCACATGTATATACATGTATGTGAATGTACACATTCATTATTTGGGAGCATTTAAATACACATTTTGGACTTTGCCACTTTAAATCTAAAATAAATTCAAAATTGGATAATTTATCCATGGATCTCTTTAGGAGGTAATATTACTTGAGATGGTAAATATTACATAAGTAGGTCAATTATACATGTTGCTTATCAATTAATCAACTCTGTTATCTCTGATATGCCTTTAATGTAAAAACTGTGGCATTCAAAATATATTTGTTTAATTTAAAGTGCTGATCTAAACTATTATAGATTCTTTTAAAATGAAAAAAATAAAGTGAATCCATTCTTCATTCTGCTTTAGGAGAATTTATTTATTACCTGTCAACTGTTACCATGACAACAGTATCAGACACTGATCTCACATAGCCCATACATAAAGAGATCTGTAGAGGCTTCTCAGAACTTATTATAATACTATCACCTTGTACAAAGGGCATCCTAGATAGGGGAAGTTTCCTGAAAATAAAAATTCTGATGAGTTGGTAGGAAATAAATTGCATGAACTCAATATTCATGTAATTCTAATGTATTTGTTTAGTGGATACAGATTATTTACATATTACACGAGGGACCAGAGTGACTGAGGGAAATATCATACTGACAGAGGTATAAACCCAGAAATTTCAGGAATGTTTGAAGTCATAAAATCATCAGAAATTTTTAAACTTATTATATAGGGTGCACCAAAAATGTTGAAATTGTTGTGAAAATAATTGAATGCTTACGATGTATCATTGGAATGTTTTCTGAAAGCTTGTATGCACTGTCCACCAGGGAGGGGGCTTGTAACATGCTGCTTGCTGAGTACCATATTAGACATGCATTCGCCCTTGGCCTCTCTAGAAAACAAATTAAATATACATGTGACGCGATTAATACTTCAATGATTACCATGCATACTGTCGCAACTTGCCATTTGTTACAGACACCAAATGGCAGCTGTTGAACACCAGTTGCCAAACACTAATACGATTATACCAGCTGTATAAGTTTTAATCTTCTTTATGAATTACTCCCCCCTGTAAGACAGCAGAACAGCCGCTTATTCCATGTTGTACGTAGTGTGTCCAAGTGCAAAGATTTACATGTCCAGCTAATCTGGCTTAATTCACAACCGGGGCCATGAAGGTATAAATGTAAACTAGGACAATAATCCTTGGGACAATTTTCTATTTCACACCAGAACTTAAATGGTCCTCGGAGAAGTTGACATTACATAAAATGCATCTCTGACATACTATATACCTCTCTTTTGCAGTTTTACACCATATTTCAGATGGCGCTGATCTTTTGTTAGTTCCCTGCTGCGATTCTAGCGACATCATCAAACACCAGAGGGCGAAGTATTCAAGGCTTGCGTCATTGAGATGTTTGGTGGCATCAGGGACAAGAGACTCCATGATGTGGCCTTTACTCACTTTCCTCTCTTCTATTGTTCTGTGGATGAGAGACAATAAAATATTAAACAAGGAATCATAAATCAGCCATACTTTAAAAAGAAAAGGAGGTTATTGCGAAATCCCACAATAAGGCGGCCATTTTGAATTGAGATATTTGGTGACATTGATATTTGGGGACAAGGGACTTCATGATGTGGCCTTTACTCACTTTCCTCTCTTCTATTGTTCTGTTCTGTTTTCAGAACAAATTTCTCCGAGGATTTGAAGAAGGGGAGGGGGGTATGAGTTGCCAGTGTCCGGCAGTTTGGAATTGAATCATCAGTAACAGATAATGGTATTTAGTTAATTATTCAAATACCTGTATTTCTTTTTATGTCATGACAGGTTGATAAATATTACATTACAATTAAATTACATACATTTAAATACACTATACCAGCCAGAGCGATGGGGAACACCAAGCAGTTGACTGGTAGATACAGTAAACATAATCAATTGTACATGCCATCCATAAAGTCTTTATACAATTACAATACAAAGTGTAATGAGTAAAGAGACTTCATTGACACACTGTATTCTATCACTGTATCTATCACTCATAAATACATTTAATTACATCTAAGCAATAAATTATTGCTAAATCTATACACTTTGAAACAATAAATCCTCTCTGAAGAGGTACTGAGAATTTGAACAGGTCATGTTGGCCTTCATCATTACGACCTAAGTTAGTGGTATTTTCATATGCTATCATGACACCCCAATGAGATATAGTGGGTGAGATGTAATATACTCTTCATATGATTCAGAACTAGTTCAAGTTCTCTTTCTCTTTACAAACATTCTAAAACTTTCGAAGTGAAATATGGTCTGAAGGTTAAAGATATCAATGATACTAGAGGTTTGGGAAGAGTAAGGCAAGGCCAACTAAATAACATGTTTAACGCTTCTTAACTTTCTTTTTCAAACTTCTTAAAAGAGAGTGCCAATGTGGAATTCAAGTTAACTGTAATCTTGTGTTTTATTAATAACAGTACTTAGTTGTCCCTCAAATAAATCTCATATCTAATACCCCAAGTATATAACATTTATATATGTAACCAATTATATGTGATTAAAATAACAATGAAATATTAAGGAAAGGAAATATTTTCAAAAATCTCGTCATTATTCCAAGACAACAAACAATCTTGCCTGATTTACTGCCAGAATAGTTCCAAGCATCATGTGCTTATCAAAACGATTTAATAGTTTTCTAAGATTTTTGACATTTTGAAATCAAGTTGATAAACAAGAACCATAGGTTAAATATGATATCCTATGATTTTCTATGGATAAAAATGTTATCCCTCATAAATCATAGAATATCCTCTGTTTATAATATTGGGACAACTGGCAAAGGTATTAGGTCCAGTCTAGATGTGCATTTATATTTTCAATATTAATGTCTTGATTTTTCTATATAAGTGATGTCTTATATATGTTTATTTACTGTATAATTAAACATATGTGACAACATGTATAGTGCCCCATATGTCATGAGAGACTGACAGGATTAAGAGTCAATAAAAGATAATGCAGTAATTCTAGTATATCATATCAGCTCAGGCAGGATGCCATTTCGAAGAAGGGGAGGTTAATGATATATGACATTTACTAAAATATCAGCTGATTCAAATTACAAAGATAAGAGCAACTGAACTAACTTGTTCATTATTAGTGCATTATTTGCTTAAAAATCACATATCAATATCTAGAATATGCAATATGCAGTGGTCTCCAAAGGATTTTTTCAAGTGGGTGCAAAATTTTCATTTTCACAATTCAGACCAAAATTTGTCAAAATATGCCACTTTTCATGATTCACTGAAGGTCAATCAAAAGTCAAATCTCAAATCTAAGGTCAGAGTTGAACTCCATAGAACTTTTGGATGATTTTTTAAAAAGATTGGTCAATTTGAAATAAGATGAAAAATCAACATGGCAAATCTATTGAAAAATTCAAAATCACCATCATGTAATTTAGCCAGCATACCCAAAACCTAATCAGATCTCGATTTATGTGACAAACACTCGCACGTCCGCCTGCCACATCGTCCATCAACACAAGGCGACGGCAATATAGCACTTTTTTAAGTGCGATAAAAATAAATAGTTGTTTCAATAGCATTCAATATCAAGTGTTAATTTTTTGTGGTGGCAATGCTAATGATAAAGAGTTCAAGATACATTGCTACAAAACTCTAGCTTCCATGATTTTTTTAGCAGTAAACAACCCCTTTGCTACACAGGGATCCAGAAAAGGTCACTGACCCTCCTCTTTTTACCTGTAGGGTCAGTGACCAACTCCCTGTGTTTTTCCCAGAAGTTATTACACATACATGAAATGTGGAGATTAAATGCATGCATAAACAAAGAACTTAAATGTTGCTCTTATCCGTGTAAAATATTAAGCTGGCTGATTTTTATGATTTCTGGAGTTCATCATGGAATACAACATTCCTTTATCTTCCCATTCTTGGAAATGGCAACTTACCAGGGCAATATACCGTAGTTCTCAGAATTACCAATAATTAGACTTGAGTTAATACAGGGGTGGTCCTGGAAATCAAGAGGGGGGGGGGGGTTTCCTTTTTCAAAAAACAAACCTAATTTTGAAATATGAGATCCATTTTCTTTGAAATAAGGCCCCAAAAAGCTTGAAAATTATAATGAGAGATACTGGGAGTCAATCCTTACCCATCAGGAGTAGATAATTTATAAATAACAAGCCTGGAATTTCCAAGTAGCCTGAGTATGAGGTAAATCATCAGTATCCAAACACAAATACAGGGTGACCCAAACAAAATGTCACCATCTAATTTTAGAATACCTCTCAAATATGATTGAATCCTTGTGATTTCCTTTCTGTAAGTAGAGTGTTGAAAACTAGACAACAGCAACGCCAAAGCGTAGCAAATCTCATTGAACAGCCATGGCTGGTATTTTTACAAATAAAGTATATAGCAAAAATGGCAGCCATTTTCTTCCAAAAGTGTCATTAGACAGTGTGCAATGCTTATAGTATTCATATACCAAATATGAACAAAATCAGTCCACTACTTTCGAGTTACAGCAAAAATTGTAAGATTAACGAGTAACATTTTTCAAGATGGCTGCCATGTGTTTCTTTAATATCTACATTTGTAGCTTTATTAATGTCCTATATAATTTTTTACATTTAAAACATATTGCTATTACAGTTTTACATATTGCACCTAAATTACTGTAAAATCAGCACTAAAATGGATGCCATTTTTAAATGAGCGGATTTTGAAAATCGGCTTTCGAGCAGAACTTCTACCCCCATAGGGTATATGTATACCAAAATATGAACAAAATTGGGCCAACCGTATTTGAGTTATTGCCCAATTGATTGCCCGGACAGACGTACGGACGGACAGACAGACGGACGGACAGAGGCGTTCTCTATATCCCTCCGATAATGAAAAATCAGTTGTAAACTTATATTGCATAAATGATTTTGGATTTAGTTTATCATGTTTTCTGTCAATGTATGCTCTCATGTGAAATCATCCAAAAATTTTCAAAAATAGAATTTTCTGGAATTGGGATTTCTGTTGTAGCCATTCTGGATTGCTTACACACATATTATTAATAATATCATCTATCCATTTTTCAAGAATAATTTTGTCAAATATGATGAACTGACACATTTATAAAAAAGGCAGATTTCCAAACTTAGATTTTTGTGTGGTTTGGCATCAGAGCATGCTTCCACAGTGAACATGATATCTTTAAATCTCTAAGCTGTTGATACATGCAAGTACATCAATGTTCTATCTGGTATTACACAAAAAATCATGAAGATTCCTTCATAACTGAGAGTTATTCCAAAACTAGATGGTAATGTTTTTTGAGTCACCCTGTATCGAACAAATATGCTATATAAAGGATGGTGCATTAAGAAACAAAGTTTAAAAACCTTCAAACTCTGAAGTGGAGGAACGGGTGCAACAGAAAACTTAAAAATCAACTTCTGAACTTCTGAGAACTGTTAAGGTGAGTCAAATGAAATCTTAAAAGTAAAGATTCAACTTTCACAACTTTATTGTACAAATAAAGGCATAACGTTTATAGACATTTGTCAGCTGATCGATTGAGGCCAAGTTGTCACTTGGTGTTATGGTCCTAAATTGTGATAATGAAACGTGAATGGTGGGGAGGGGGTATTAGACATTCTATTTATTTTAGATTATGTTTTAGGTAGTTTGGGTTTGATTTCCTTATGACTGGTGTTCACTTAGATGTTTTCTTTCTTGCTGTCTTCTTAAATGTTTGGTCCTTCCCCTTGTTATTTGTGCATACATTTTTAGTAGACTTGTAAACTAAATTTAAAATTATTAAAAAATAATAAAATTTTTGTTTGTGACTTGCTTGCAATATAATTGTCTAAATTGTCAGTAAATTTCTGACTAATAAGATTTACAGTATTGGGTTTTACCTTGTAAATCTGAACAATTTACTTTTTTTTGAGAATCATCAAAACAGTCAAATGAAATGATTCACTGATCTATTTTGCCTTAATCTATCTATTTTGTTTCATGCTTTTTGATGACTTAAATTGTCTTTTTCAGTTCTGCATTAAGATGGCTTATAGTTCTTCTTTGAGCGTGAATCCTATTGGCGGAACTTTGGAGATGATTGACACAATTGATCGACCAGCAAAAATTACAGTGCAGGAGAACTATGAAATAGCAGGTGCATATGCACATGATGGATCTGAGGATAAACCGATGAAGCGAATCCCAAAGGCAGGAGCGTATTATGAAGCTGGAACTCTCAAAGTACGTGGGGAAGCAAGTATCCTAGCTGGTGAACTACGGGGGCCAAATGTCCGTGCAGAAGCATCAGCGAATTTGGCGACTGGCGCAAAAGCTTTCATTCGACCAGAGGTTGTTGGGGCGGAAGGGAACGCGGGGCCACTTAAGGGTAAAGTTGCCCTTTCCGCAGAGACGGGAGGGAGCATTGGATGGGACGGAGGGGAAGTGAAACTTCTTGGAACGGGAGTCAGCCTTGGTCGCAAAACATCAGTGTCTCTATTTGGATCCGAAGTTGGTATCAATTTCTGGTAGATTCTCAAAACAATGCCAGTTTTTATACAGGTACTGACTGCTTTTACCAGTATATAGCTATTATTTTTGAACTAAGCAATGTTGAGGCTAACATTAAGTGATGACGTATTACTTTTTCTCAAAATATACTACTCTCGTACAATTGCTAAATAGAAACTAAATGTTGGCTTTGGACAATAATAATAGTGACAATTTGAGACAGTATATACTTAGCATCAGAATCAATCTTAAGACAATCACTGACACCATGGATACCATCACTGACACCATGGATACCATCACTGATACCATCACTGACACTATGGATACCATCACTGATACCATGGAGACCATCACTGATACCATGGATACCATCACTGCCACCATGGATACCATCACTGATGCCATGGATACCAAGGACATAGAATTTGGAATTCCCACTGACTCAATGGTTTTGTCATGATGATATTTACATGTATTGACAGGCAGCAAAACATAATACTGTTTATGGTCACCAGGGATTTAAATTTTAGACAAATAAGCAGGTCTTTCTTTTGAAATGATAATATTAAATATTAAATTTTGTCACTTTCTCTTTGTACTTTCAAATAAAATGGAAAAATTTGCTATGAACTGCAAACAAAGCAATGGAAACACATTCTTGATTGCTTTTCTTGAATATCTGAGAATACTTTAAAATATATTGACTACAAGAAATTATTTCCACTAGAGAAAATTTTCCAAAATTAACTTATATTGAGATGTTTTAGGTAAATCAATTCGATCATCCTGAATTTCAATTTCATACTTTTTGGATCATTCTTTAAGAGATCAGGTCACATAGTTTTATGTCAAACAGGCCTCGCGCTTAACTTTTTTTTATCAGGTAGTTGTTTCACTACTTAGTGAATTTTTCAGGTAGCTATTTCAGAGAAGCAGGTAGTGATAATTTTGGTGAGAGTTACCTTTATTCATATGACTTAGCAGCGCAATAAATACAGAATATCACACCATTTTGAGTGATATCATTTTTATCGCCGAGTTGATATCAAATATCAACACAAGTGAGCGAAGCGAATGAGTGTTGATATTTGATATCTACGAGGCGATAAAATGATATCACAAGAAATTATGTGATATTGGGTTTATCCCATGATTACAATTACATTTTAATAATAAAATATAACAAGAGAATAAATTATCTGACCTAATTTCCAACAATATTGTGGTCCGAAATGCAAATGTGATATCACACAGATATGCGTGAGATAAACGATATCACACGCATATGAGTTTGATAAACGATTTTCTGGAAAATATCACATGGATTTCAATAATATCAGAAATATCAATAGCTGTTATTGTACAGATAACACATTAATCGTGGGATAATAACATATAACATTGTAAATAAATGTATACTTACCCAGATATTAATAAAGGCAATTTGCATACACATTTCATACATAGTAAGAATGAAGTGGACTATGATTGGTCTGCTATCGCGCAATTGTAAAAGTTGTGATTCAGCTCGAACAAGAATTAACAAAGATCAGCTGATCGACAAATCAATCAAAAATCTTTATATTTTCACATGGAGAGTTGTTAGTTGAGGTACTAGTGAAGTTAGCTGGTTGGAGGAAATGACAAGTAGTGTTTTTGGAAAAACAGGTAGCAAATCACTACCTTAGCAATGCTAATTTCGAGGCCTGTCAAATGTTATAAATGTTGTTATACACTAACCCCATCTTTATAATAAGACTGGTTTCGAATCAATGATGTATTGCTCACCAAAATATGACAGTAACTAAAATAATACGATACAATAAGAGAAAAATAATACAATACAAAGAAAGACTTACTTTTGATACAGTGAACAATTCACCAGATGTGGACACTTGGTGCAGCTCCTTTCATTGTCAATAGGTGGTGCTAGTGGTTCCAATCTGTACATACTTTTGTCATCTTCCCTCTTTGTCTTTTTTATATTGTGGGTTAAATAGTGAGATAACTCATTCCTTAGTTGTAAAAGACCTGCAACAAATCAAGATGTCATATCTGTTATTGATGAATGTCAACAATTGATGGCCTAATGGTAAATTCTGATGTTCAGTAAAACCTGTATAAGTTGAACACATTTTGTACCTAAAAATAATGTTCATCTTTGGAGGTGTTCCGCTTACAGAGGTTTTCTACCTTAATTAATTCTCCAAAAGAGACCACTTAATGAATCATTTTTTGTGCTAATTTTTGATGATGATTAACATTTGTGTTAATATTTATGTCCAATGACATGTTTCAGGACTATTCAGGTGATCACATCTTTTTGAAATGTTTCAAGTTTTATCTCCGTCTGAGATGTATCAAGTCTTGCATTGTCTGTCCTTAATTATTCTGTTTATGGCGCCCCTCTTTTTCTGCATATTTATTAGGTTATATTCATATCTCAAAATATGGGTACATTTCCCTATATAAAACTTCACCTCCGGAAAAGAGTATTCAACTTTCCGTATTCATACATAAAATTTTACCTCTTTTATTTTCATGTTTTGCTGGAATAGTCGTCATAGCGCCATCTTTTAGATACACCAGTAGTCCACCATGGGGATCTTCTCTACGGTCACTGCTCATGAGAGAATAAAGCGTCACCTATTGGGGAGAAAATACTTCTACATGTACTACCATTTTTTGTATAAATATCTAACTGCAATACTGTACGCCCGGTATAATTCGCGAGCTTTAATTTCGTGAATTTTGCGAAAACACGGTTTCGCAGCTATTAAATTTTGCGAATTTCACAAGTTTGAAATTCATTATTTTCGGAATTCTCAAGCTAAATTACTAGTAGATGTACAGTAATTGCACTTACCTGATGTCATAGTTGGATCAGATTTACAATAACTGGGATCTTTATCATCGGCAAGCTATGTTATCTTTTGCAATTTGCACTTCATTTGCAATGATGTCATCGATATCATTATTGGGCCTACTGGCATGACTGGTGGTACTGGGCCGAATCAGCCAACGTAAAATGGACATTACTGAAGTCCTGAAGATCGTGGATATTCAATTATCGCCCAATAACACTAGACGAATCGTTTACATAAAACGAAATGCATCAGAGCTCCGGGTAACAACAAATTCCCGGGGATTTAATTAGCAATTTCACGACGATAATTTTTCGCGATTTTAACACCATCGCGAAAAGCGCAAAAGTTAATCGCACGCGAATAATACCGGGCGTACAGTATGTACATAAAGAAGATCCTCCTCCAATACTAGATCACATGCCCCATAATCTATATATCATAATAAAGCCAGTTAACTTACTCATGGCTATTTTCAATGAATTTCAACACTTTAATTCCTTTAATCCTTCTGAGCTCTCTTGGTTTTTCTTTGACAGTTTATATCCTTGGTAACTGTCAAAGTTAAACATTTTACATTTATAAAGTTTAAAGTTGTCTGGGGCATGGTTATCATTTTCGGTTGACTCTCAGTTTGTATGCTAAAAGTCAACACCAAATAGGTACCTTTAGCAAGTTATAAAAATATCTAGCTTATCATGTTTGTTTCAACAATACTACTAAAAGATACGCACCTGTCCTTTGTGTTCTATGGAGTATGTAGGACGGCCAGTTTTTAACTCTAATGGCATCACTTTAGTACTCTTACTGCCATCTTTACTATGAATCTGAAAGTAAAATCACAAGCCATGTTTATTTTATTCACTGGCATGTAGCGATTTAAGCGATACTGGATACTTTACTGAATTGTGTCGAAGTTAGACGTGTGGTGCGGAAGTTAATATGCAGATGACTATCATTTCAATGTTATATTGTTTGTAGGCAAATTGAGATTAGGCCATTGGAGTATTTGTTTCACGCATACATAAAGCCTAACGCATTCAAGGGTCACATTTATCATTAAACCAATAACTCAAACATATGACCTTGTACACCGACCACCTCTTGAAATCAATGCAGACCGATTTCAACGAATGCAAACGGTGATATATAAAAGAAACATAATCAAGCATGACCACGTCCCAACTTCTTTTGTTTTCTTTACAACTAAGCTATGACTGTAGTCTATTCAGTGTTGCGTATCGAACCTTGTTTATTATAAAAATAGTGCAACAACAAGCAGAATTCACACATTTACCTATTAGGCGAGTGGGAGCAGGGTCAAATATGGAACTTTAATTAAGATTGACTGCAACCGCTCAAAACATGTTGTACTTTCATAATATTGATATGTAGATTCCAAATATGACAATGAAAAGTTTTGAAAAATGGCCCGTTACCATGGAAACGGATGCAAAGTGCCACGCCCACTTTTCATTAGCCATAAAGAATGATAAACACAATATTGGCCATAACTTTTTTAATTTTTAACTATTTTTAATAATATTGGTACCATATTGAAGGTAATAAAATGTCCCGTCACCCTATGTATTATTTAGTCGGTTTCAATTGTTCACCCGGCAATTATGACGTCATAATATCCTTAAATTCCCATTTTAAGGTATATTTAACGAATTGCTCCACATCAATGTCAACTAAATACCTTAGTGAATATTCTTATCAAATAAAATGAGATTATTTTTGTTCACGTTAATGTGCTCTTTCCAGTGATACCTTTGATGTTACATAACACTAATACACTTTTGTTCTAGAGCCTCTTAAACCATGGCTACACTATGGTAAAATGCTGAATCCATATTTAATCGCATTTTACTACAATTTACTGATTCTCTGTGTGTGTATGTCTATGCCTGTTTGCTACCAAACCATTTAGACGTTAGAAAACAAAACGTGGCGCATATGTCCAGTATAGTACCCCCCTCGAATATAAAGTGGTTAAGAACTTATGATGTCATCTTGTTGCCTAGCAACCACTTAGGAATGGATTAAAACGCCTTATTATGGCCATTTTGCCATAGTTTCATCATTGTATAGGCACTAAACATCTAGATATGGAGAAAGAATCACCCCTCAGCATTGACCCTACAGTATATCACTGTCTTTGTACACTGGTTATTGAGATGTCATCTGTGTTGCCTAGAAACCACATAGAAATGTTCTAAAGTTTGCCAAGTTCATTCAGTATTCTTCCATTTACTCACAGGTTATGTTATCAAAACACTCATTTAAGATTAATACACTAGTATTATAATCTAAGAAATACCAATGTGTGTGTTCAAAACGGGCACTCTGCAACAAAATAAAATGTACCTGCCTAGGAACCACCTAAAAACGGTCAAAAGCTAATTTACAATTTATGCAACCACAAAACACATCTGAGCTTCATAAATACAATGTACAGGGCATCAAATAAGTCAGTTTTCCATCCCCCATAATTTTTTAATTTAGAACTAACATGGGTTTATCAAAAATCATCTTAAAGGGAATTCAATTTGCTGATCACACACCAATTTTCCGAGTGATAGGTTACATTACAAATTTTTTAGAGCATTTTTAGTGATGTCCATATTTCACATTTTTAATAGTTCGTATGTTTCCCCCAAGCAGCTCAGGTAGTCTCAATTCTACGAGGATACGCTTCCAAAATGTTCACAAACAGGAGTGTTGCACTTTCTAGGCTTCTTGGAGCCTTTTGATACATTTGAGCAATGTTTCATGGCTATAAAGTTTCTCCTCTTGTTAGTCTTCAATTAATCTTTCGTCCCTATCCTCCATAATTGCAGTATCAACTTTTCACCGTCCATTCACTCTCCTGGTAATTTAACTTCTTTTGACGTAATCAATGGTCAACTACAACCTTACAAGAAACATTGTAGCAATTTAGGAAGAGTTCATTTTTGATATTCTAAGGGTGATCAGCATTTTTCATAAGCTTTAAAATGATATATTGGAAAATATAACTTTCAAAATAAAAAAGTTAAGGTGAGAAAGACTCTACTTGATATAGGATAAAGCAGTTATGTACGGTCGGTTTGGATATTGGGTTCATCCCTCGTGAGATATGCACATCTACCTTTGGTCCCTACAGTCCCTCAGGTAGATACGCATATCTCCCTCTGGATAAACCCCATATCCAAAACCTCCCAGTACATAACCCTTATATATTTAGGCATTGAGTAGTCATAACATATGCCTAGCAAACACATAGCAACGGTTCCTAGTCAACTCAGACCCTATTTAACTCTGACCCTAGTCAACTCAGGCCCTAGTCAACTAGTACCAATGTATTTCTGAATCTTTTTTTCGATATTTTGAGTGTTAAAGTGAAAATTAATATATAAAAGCAAAAGTGATCATATAATTGCAAGAGTCAATCATAAATCATACATTCTAATTGTGAAATCAAATAGGATTAAATATGCCTAAAATGTAGTCACCAATAGTATGATTTTACATGAAGCTTTAATAATATACCCAAAATGTATTACAAAAAATAAATGTTATTTTCAAGCTGTACCTTAAAACAAAAATGTACTGATATATTTCTTCATACTGCATATTGGAATTAATGTAGTACTTCTATATTTTGTTAACTTCAACACCCTGATTAAATGCATTTCGAAATAAAAATAGAATAGAAATCATAGTAAGCATTAGAAAATCATTTAGAAGCATTTAAAATCAAATCCAAGGCAAAATCTGAATAATCGATTTGATCAATCAAAAAATGTCTTTATGAATGTGTCCGGTATGTGCTTAAATATGGTATGTATACTTGCGTTGATTGTTAAATTTCAACATAGGCAGGGTAAAGAATATGTCAAAGTCGTTTGATCTCGTTCCAGAAGCAATATTTTGTCACTTGTATCTCCCAGAATACCTTTAACTAGGGTCTGGGTTAGGTCCAAGTTGACCAGATACACCTAGCAACGGTAAAAAATTTACAAAAATGATGTATTTTTGTCAGTATTATGCCATTTACTTTCACTAATTCACTAGGCATGTTAACCTATCAACCACTTGGCAAAGTTAGGTTATGGACTAAAATGGTCAGTTTTGGGCAATACTATGTCAATTATAGGTAGTTTCAGTTGATGTCATTTTGACTTCATTTCATATTTTGTTCCCTGTAGTTCAGAATATCTTTAGTAAAGACTAGTGTATATGCATAATGACACATAGACATACTAATGTTTACTGGTTCGGCAGACAGTTTCAAATAATCAGCTATCAAGTAACTGGCCACCAGCCAATCAAATGCCTTAATCTTCTTTTCCTGGCTGAATAAATTTTCATCAATAATGGGTGTCTGAACTTGGGTGTGAGAGACTGATCATGTGAATCAGAGTAACACAAGATCTTGAAGAGACAAGACCTCGTTAGGAACGAGATTGAGGGTGAGTACTCCTTGAGGTTGACACCATCATGCGTAGTTTGCGGTCTGCCCTTTGGCCTTCTTCATCCCATAGAACTTGTGGTTAGCCATCTTTCATTTCGCCGGAAGTGATGGCCACTTTGAGAGAAAATTTCTCCCAGGTGGTACTGATTTCTTCCGAGTGATTATAACCCAGTCTAATCTCATATTGTTGATCGATGTACTGGACCAAACCAAAGAGCAGAGGCTCAGGTTACTCCTGTTTCAAAGTGACTTCCAAAGCAGAGGTTACTTCTAGAGCCTCGACTCTTCCGAGAGACGAGTTTGCTCATAGAGATGTAGCTCTCTTTTGAGCCGAGGTAGATTAGGGATCACTCTGGTAGCGAGACAACTCCCGAAGCAGAAGATACTCCCAGAGCCTGGACCCAGTCCAAGAGCAGAAACATGATTTCCCGCAGGGATGAGACGACTCCTGGAGCTGAGATTACACTTTAAGAATCATGATACTCCTTGAGTTCTAATTTCTCCCAAGTGAGATTACTCTGAGAGTGAATTGGTAATACTCAGAGAAGTTACGAGAGACTCTCAGAGCAGAGTTTACTCCTAGAGCCCAGACACTGTCCAATACCAGATACGATACTTCCTATATAGACGAAGTGACTCCTATAGTCTACTAGAGCAGAGTTACTCCTAGAGCTGAACCCATTCCAAGAGCAGAGAATATATTTCCCAAAGAGATGTGCCGACTCCCAAACATACACAATCATAGTGAGATTAAATCATATTATGGACATTGTGTTTTCTGTATCATCTTTGTTGGAATAGATTTAAAAATGTGTATGCAATTGTTTCATGTGAGCCATCTTTAACTGCGGTACCACCAAACAAGGTCGGCACTCATAGAAAAACCTCTAAGAGTTATTATTGATCGCCCCTGATCTTCTCTTTAATGAGCATACGGGATACTCGGGAAAAGGCAAAGCGAGACATTGGTGGCAGTGATGGGTTCCGTTGCCCAAAGAGATGAGATGTCAAGGAAGTTTGAGATTAAGTCAGAAATCTTGTATGAAGAGGATTCCAGAAGAAATGGTGAAATTGGTTCCCAAGTTGTGATTGAAACAGCTTGAAACCCCTCCAAATGAAAGGTGTCAAGAAGAGCAGTCTTGTCTGGAGAGAAAAGTGAGATGCTCCTGTTTTAAAGTGGATGACACACTAAAAAAGGGGGCCAAAATGAGAGAGCTAAGACGACTCCTAGTGGAGAGACCAAAGTATTTCCAAAAGAAATGAATCCAGATTGGGTGAATCCAGACTAAGACCATATGTACTGACTTCTTCTAGGTCTGAGTTACCAGAAAAATTACGAGGTAGCAATCTGAGGCACTTCGATCAGGG